CATAAAACAACTGGCAATTTTTTGATGCAACAATCTCAGACACCATTAAAAAAATAAAACCCTCTTCCAGAGACCAGATTTCTCTTGCCTCGGCTGTCTGCAGGGATTTCTCCTTCTTTCAGACTGAAAGCTCCACCTATCTGGCGTTGGCACAGGGCAAAACCAAACACTGAAGTGTAATGTTTGCAAATACTCTGGCTGAGAGATGGTTGGTTTCCTCTGCGGGAGAAACTCAAGTTCAAACCCATCAGCACCATACTTGCTCTTTGGGCTGCATTATTCATTGAACTGCCTGCATTATTCATCCCGGTCGGCATGGCGTTTTGTCACTCGCTTAATTTACAAAGAAGCCGTTTCAGCCTCTTAGGTGATATTTTACATCGATTCTTCTTGTTTCTTTCAGGCTGACTGACAGAAGGACTCTTGCACAAAATGTCTTAAACTGTGGGTTTGAGATGTTTTAGTGGTTTGTCAGTTTTTATTTTATCTCAGAGAGATGACACCTGAACCAACAGTCTGACCCGGGGCCAAACGAGGCCTCTGGTGCTCCGCGGGGCACAGTAAGCTGTTAGCTCTGTGTTTGATTAGCTGCTGAGATGTGTCTGAGAATGATGACTCAAAAATCAGACTTTACTGGATCTTCCTAGGGTTATGGACAGTGTACCAGGTGCACAAGTCTTTTACTGGCCAAGAGATGATGCTCAGAAAGCGGTGGGTATAGTCTCACCTCCTCTGGTTGCCACAAGCCTGGCACAGGCTTGAACAACGCCAGACTGGAGGTCAGCCAGTGTGAGCTTTGATGAGACTGAAGCCACACCAAAAGGCTGGCATATCTGTCCTCACCTTTGTGTGATGAGAGCTAAAGTTGCCTCCAAAACAATCCCTCTGTCTGTAATTATTAAGGGCACCAATGCATAAGCACACAAGCACACTTATTACAGTTCCGTCATGATCTTTGTCTGTTTTCACATCCTATTAAACAAGAAAACAGGAAACTTGACGTTGAAATATCATTTTTGCATCTGTGAATCATGTAACGTGGATAAAATTAGAAAAACATCGCAAGAGATTTCAAGATAGCCCCACCCCGTTTGAGCTTTGTAATGCTGTTTAAAGAGGTTGCAAAAAACTTGTTTGTGTATTTTTGCATTTAAAGCAGCAATCTGACGTTTTTCCCGTTTCAGAAATGATGTATGTCTTTTTAAAGAATCTGTAAAAGCGATAAGCCTAATTTAAGCTTGGTTTATTCTTGACACATTTACTTTCCGCTTGGTGATGCGGCTCGCGGATGGAACGCGCTTCATAACTTGCAGCGTTTATGGTTCATGCGGCTTGTCTCTGCGGTGAGCCAATATTCTCCCAAACTGTAGGGGGCAGCATGGAGCTCTATGGCATGCACCCAACACTACACCATAGTAGAAGTAGAAATTACTGTTTACAACATGGCATTCCAGCATTTTTAACAGCGTCCTCGTCTTTTCCGACAGTGCGAGCTATTTCTCTCCAAGAATTATTAACAACATGTTGATCACGGTAATCCTTAAGAGCTGAATCATACAAATGTCTGTATTTACGAACCTCTGCCATACTAGTTCTTGCCAGTCCGCCATGTTTTTCCATGTTCGACCGTCCGCGTGGTTAGAAAATTTCCTAGGTGCACGGTGCGGAAAGTTTGGGCCGTGCGGAGGCCAGGTGAAGGGGCGTGGTTGTTAAAATGATGCAAGTTTGCCGCACGGAGCCGTGCAAACCTCGCGGACGTGTCAAGCATGAACCAACCTTTATACATCTCCGTCAGCTCTGCAAGCAAGAGACACGCACGCACTGATCGAGACGTTTTGCTCTCGAAATTCTCCGTCACCTGGAGAGTGTTGCAATGCAACTCCCTGCCAGGACAACAGAGGGCGTAGCACTTTGTTTCGATGTCCTGCCACCATTACACTCATGTATCTGGTCCATGATAGTGTATTTACTATTGTGTTTATATATTTCAGAGACTTTATTACAAATAAATGTGTCCTTCATTCTCCTCCACGCTCTAAACCCACGTTTTGTCATTTCCGTCCACAAATAAAACGTTTGCTTCATATTTTTGCACTTCTTCAGTCACGGGTGAATAAACATTCCTATTTTTGACTTTTTCTGCGAGGCATTCTTTACTCTGTTCCATGTCTGCCGTTAAATATCTTTTTACTTTTTGACGTGTCAAAGGTGATGTTGTTGACAAATTTACAGGAAACGGCGTCCTGACCAATCTCAAGTTTGCAGTCTCCATCACTTTCGACAGATATTTAAAAATTTGGGCATGTCTCTGCCACCCTCTGCGAGCCTGTCAGAGAGCTCTTGCACCGACGCATAATGGCGTTGCGTATCTCCACAACAACACAGATGGAAAATTATAAATTAGGCTTTTGTCTTACCTTGTTCTGATATAATATAGACAATATGTAATTTTTATTTATTTATTTTTGCTAAGCCCGTCCCCATCCTCAGATCCATGCGGAAGTAGCTAGACTGATGCAGATTTGACCACATTTCTTATGGACTGTGTGTGTCTGTGTGTGTGTGTGTGTGTGTGTGTGTGTGTAATATACATATGTATGTATGTGGCCAGGAATATATTTGTAATTTAACCTCACGTTGAAAAGAAAGACAACAATCTTTTATTTGCAGGGACACAGGCTGCGTCTTTGTTCACATACTTGCGTTTGAACCGTGTGTAGTACTGGAGTGTTCCACTAGGCGGCAAAGTACAGAACTCAGACCTAATAGAAAGCCTGGTAGGGAGGGCACAACCAAAGAAAACATGGCTTAAATAGAAGAGATCAGTTACTGGTTAATTTTGAGATAACAGCAGAAAAAAAGACAGCAGCGATATTGTAGAGAGTATGAAAGACCTCTCACTTGTGACCGTGATGAGTGCCTCTTTGTTTTGTGAACTACTGGTTACTTGTATATTACAGCTTGCAAACAAGTTGTGTTAATTTCGAGGGGCCGCTCAAACAACGCTTCAAATTAATGCAAGCTATGCGAGGCAGCCATTTTAAACAGGTATATATGTTATTATAAAGCAAGTATAGTCCCAGCCCAAGGTGAAATACATTTTTTGCCTCTAGATGGCGCACTCTGTCGACAAACTCCATATTTCTACCTGAAGTTCAAACCATTGTTGTTGTTTTACCCTTACTGGCCCTTTCCACCAAGCCGTTAGAGTCGCTTAACATCTGCGACGCATAAGCAGCAATTAGCCGCCGTTATAGTGGATGTGTACGTTTCCACCGGCCACAATGTTGTGGAAGCATCCCAAAAGCGTAGGGATGTATTTCTTACACTTTGAGTTTATATTTTATGCGCTACACTTCCAGAACACGTCAAGCTCAGCAATTCTGATCTGGCAAGACAGGAAGTCAAACACAAAAGCAGTGTAAAACATCTGGAAACACAAAATAAACAAAAGTCACGCTCACATTTCTGATTGCTTTACTTGCAAAGAAAAAAGTACGTAATTTCCTGTAAACCTCGGTAGCTCAGGTAAACACAACAGGAAACAAACCACAGACCTTTTTGGACACATGCTGTCATCTTTCTCCTTGTTATCACGTTAACTGCTGAAATCACGCGTGGTCTTGCAATTCTCCTGTGATTTCGTGACCTTGTGGAACCCACTGCGTGGAACGCTTTCCCTCCAATATTGCTTCTGAAGCACTCCCATAGGAAGGGAACTCAGGGGTTAAACCTGTTTATGATAACTTGCAAGTTGCTTTGGACAAAAGCGTCTGCTAAATACATAAACATAAACATGTTACATTAGGCTTACACATCCAGACTGGGTTATGGTTTTCTCTAAAGTTTTACTACATTTCATTGCAAAATAAACTCCTCCAGCCTTTTTCACTTGTTAAATTTCCTCCAAAGACACTTTGGAAACATAAAAAGTAATGTGGTGCCATCAGAGCCTCCGGATGCTGACAGTTTAAGATGTTTTCTACACAATGTTTAGATTTCAGCACTTTTGGTTCCCCTAGTTAGGCATCTGGGGACCCTAAAGAGTCATTAGCAGCTTTAACATTTCTATCTTTTATCCATCACAGTTTTTGTTATTGGTGGAATTTATTTTAGAATTTCATCACATATTTTCTCATTATTCTGACAGTTTTAAGCAATTTTATCCCTTAAAGCATTTAAAATCTCCCATTTGTGTTTTGAACTGTGCAGAGTTTTATGATTGTGTCAACTCTTAAATAGTCACAGGAACCAAGCAGCATATCTGAATAAAGAAAACAACATTTGATCTGCTGACTGGAATACAATTTTTAAGAATAGGTACAATGGATGAAATGCGTATAGCTTTTCCTTAACCTGAGTCTCTTTCATTCAGTTTTACGCACCAGAATGGCAACGTCCGACTACTTTGAACGTGCAGCACATTAATCTGAAAGAGTTTCTAAAGTTGTATTTTCTTTTTTCTGTGCGTTTGCCTCGTTATTGTGATGCGTAAAAGTCGCACACACCCGGAGCGCACAGCGAGCGCACACAGACATTTAGCAGGGTTTAAGTTTGGTGAAGACATGCAAACTCCATTTTCTTTCCGTTCAGTTTTGAAAGATCAAAAATGTTTCTCAAAAAAATGGGAAGTTTTGCGCATTTATTTTCATTTCATTTATCTCATTGAATCTAGGTTAGATGTGGTTATTCTTTGGTGCGCGTGGATTACTGCTAAATCATCCATAGCAGGTATGCGCAGTGCGCGTCCACGAGTGGCTGAATTTCCCCTCGGGAACGCAGTCTGAGCGGAGAGTTGCCCCAGACGCACTGACGTTTACGCACACGCACAGACACTGAAATCACTTCACTCTGCTTCAGACTTGCAGCACCGAGTTGTTCCTCCTCTCCTGTTAAATCTGAGGGTTAAAAAAGAAAAAGAAAGACGGTTTATAATTGATGTTTTCCCATGGAGGAGCCCCTCCTCCACGCAGCGCTGGCTAACCCCAAGGTGGAAGAAATCTTTAAGATTTTTGGGGGGGATAACATCAGGAGGGTTTGTCTAGGCGAGCCAATCAAGTCCCTCCCCTGCTATATAGATCGGTGCTATAATACAAAGCAGTAAAAGCGGTCGGCTCACACACGCAGCTGCAGCTCGGCTTCAGACCCCGTGGCTTTTTTTCATTCCCTCACTACTTTTTTCCTCAGCTTTCTTCGATGCGCCCCGTTAGCGCCGTTTGTCCGAGGCGTTCATTTCCGCACCTGCCGCGATAGAGAGCGAGCCGAGGCGCAGTGGAAGGAGAGACAAGGGCATTGCAAGAGCCTGGGGAGAGCAGGCAGACGGCTGAGACAGCAGCAGTGACTCGTTTAAGATCTTAAAAGGAGGAGGAGGAAAATAAAATCATGCTGCTGTGGACCAGAATAGCTTTGGTCGCTCTCATCTGCGTGTCCTTGGTGTCCTTTGGGATGGGATGCGGACCGGGCAGGGGGTACGGCAGGAGAAGGCACCCGAAGAAGCTGACACCTCTTGCGTACAAGCAGTTCATCCCCAACGTGGCGGAGAAGACCCTCGGGGCGAGCGGCAGATACGAAGGCAAGATCACGAGAAACTCCGAGCGGTTCAAGGAGCTGACTCCCAATTATAACACAGACATCATCTTCAAGGATGAGGAGAAGACCGGTGCCGACAGGATGATGACTCAGGTAAGGAGACTGCTCCTCTCACGCACCATCACTGCGCACCGCAACATCCTTCCTGTCAGACCGATTGCGCACCTTAAGTGAAGTGTGTTTTGCCCGCTGCTGAACTCTTCACACCGAGCCTTTTTTTATGCCGCACGGAAGCCTGCAGCCGCTGCAGGCTGGAACGAGTCATGTGCATGGACAGTCAGGACACTCGGCCTTCATTATTGTGACAGTGCATTTAAAATATTCATGTGGCCCTCTCCTCGCATCTATATTTGTATCTCTATAAGGCTCGCGCAGCCTCATTTGGCTTTGATTTTCCCCATTGAGCTTGCAGATGCTGATGCGCACCGCTTCAAACAGCCGGGCTCCCTCAGGCAGGCTGGAGGGATTCGTTCTGCAGCGTGCAAAGCGCAGTGGCATTTAATTGAAAGAGTGTCCTAATTGTTGGGTGGGACTCACTCCGTTAAGGCGCGCGGCCAGAAGACGTCTGCTCCAAAGCAGAGGGAAGCACTCGGATCCGGTGGATTATGCGCCCCGTTTGGTGATGGAGCCATCACGCAGGCGCGCGCATTGGAGTCCCTGAACCCGTGTCTAGCTCTATGCATGCGCACGAGCTCCGATGAAATATTCACCGTGAGTGCGGTCTCAGCCCTCCCCACAGAGCTGATCTGAAAGGATGTTCTAGGTGATCTGGGAGGTTTTTCTTTCCAGTGATGAAGGAAAGTGGACAAATACAGAGAAAAGTAAAATATTGAACATAAATGAACATCTGCTGAGTGGATATGCAATGCGTAAAAGGAACGTTTGGCATGTTTTGGGGTCCTATTTCCACTTTAACCCGGTTTTGACCTTAAATATGTTCTTCCTCACCAACTGAGGCACATTTTTAAAGTAATATTCCATCCTCGTGAGCTCATACCGCACGGAAAATTTTATTTTTGTTGTTTAGCCGGGATCCAAACAAGATCTTTCAACTCTTTCATCGCATTAGAAGGCAATCCAATCGAAGCAGCTCACTTAGAGCGAGTGTGGCTGCATGTGGCAGAAGCATCACCATATGATTAGCTGTGCCAACGTTGTCGACTCCGTTTCGCGGGTTTGCGCGTTGGGGTTTTACGCACGGATCTTTACGCGCAAACCCAGGATTCTTAATATGTTTTAGGAAAACGGACATTTTACGTGAAGTGAAGCACGTACCTAAGCTCCGTTACATATGCGCATTCAGTGAATTAATGACGTCAGGATAACACCGGTTGGCGATTATTTAAGACTTTCTCAGGATTTTTGCGACATGGAGAAACTTTTAACGGATTAAGTTGCCAGATAAGAAACTTTTCCGAACCTGAAAAAGTAACAAAAGCTAAAAAAGAAAAAGAAAAAACTCTTCTTTATATTGTCATTTCAGCCGATAAATCTGCGCTTACTCTGAACAAATGGCTCCCAGTTTGGAGGTTCTCTCTGGTTCGCACCCTGATTGAGCCGGAGCCGCGTGTTTGCTCTGACAGGTAGCTGATAAGTGTTCCCTCTAACCAAATCATTTGTGAAAAGATTAAGAGGCGGGCTGTTGAACAACTTAAGCGCCCCGCTGCGCTTCATGGTGGCTGAGCAGAATTTGGATTGATTTGCGGCACACGACCTGATGAATTAATGAACAGCTTCACGGCTTTTTGACTCTCGCTGCTTCTAATCCACAAGTGTGTTGCTCATAAAACAGAGGCTGATATATGTAGAGCAGAATTCTGTGTGGAAAGTCACTTTCTGGAGGGAATGCGTCACAGCTAGAAAAACCCTCCAACTTAGGTATCAGGTCACGTTTCCAGGCCTCCAGGAGGATGAAAAGCCTCTTTGGGATGTTTTATTGGACATATTGCACACGGAGTTGTCTTGGAGAAGGCCGAGCATCTCCAGTGAGAGCACAGAGAGGCTGTGGCGCAAGCAAACCCCGTAGATCATCTTCATGTCAGCTGCGTAATCAAGAATTTATTTCAGGAAAACAGCCAACAAAGCACTCCCTCCATAATGCATTACTGTTGTTCTTAAAGCAACACTCCTTTAGTAGAGGGGGGATGCTGCTCGCACCTTCTCGAGACTAAACAGGGCCAGTGAAGCGAATGCAGTGTCTTGTCAATATTTCATGAGCAGCTTTCCTACCCGGGATGTGCCCTCTGACGCTGCTGCTCACTGAGAGATGCAAGCTCAGGACGCAGGTGGAGGCTCGGATGGAAGAACAGGGACACGTTTATTGTAGTTTTTCCCTCTCTGAGAGCTCTCGCTGATCCATTTCCTCCTCCTCCAGAGATGCAAAGACAAGCTGAACTCGCTGGCCATTTCGGTGATGAACCAGTGGCCCGGGGTGAAGCTGCGCGTCACCGAGGGATGGGACGAGGACGGACATCACTCCGAGGAGTCCCTCCACTACGAGGGCAGGGCCGTGGACATCACCACCTCAGACAGGGACAAGAGCAAATACGGGACTCTGTCCAGGCTGGCGGTGGAGGCCGGATTCGACTGGGTGCACTATGAGTCCAAAGCGCACATCCACTGCTCTGTCAAAGCTGGTGAGTCCAAAAAAAACGCACCAAACAGCAGGAATCGATATTCAATCAGATGTTTATTGGGTTCAATTTAATAAAACGAATAAATAAGAGTCACAATAAATATTTAGGATGTGTTATTCTAATAAATGCTGAAACATGACGCGTTTTTATCAGAAATAAGCTAATGTTGATGTTCTGGAGTGTGGGCACGTGGAGACGGTGAAGTTCATTCCTTGATCTTACATCGCCCCACACCGTTTCCTTGTGGAAACCACCAGCTCAGTATTTCACAGAACCGTTCAGTGGGACCTGGAAAGGCTGCAAATAATAATAATAATAATAATAATAATAATAATAATATAATTTGGTGTTAAATGTGAAAATATGTGGATTAGTACCTCTTTTCTTAAACCTAAGGATGACATTTGATTTTTTTTGGGTTATTTTAGGTGAAAATTTCCCAGAATCTCTTAATTCTCATGCCCATCCTTTTTGATCACACCCTGGTGTCATCAGAGGTCACGCGACTTTACAGAAAGGATTTGGGCTCGGACCAAATCTGGTTTGCAGCTTCACCTTATTTCATGCTCGGGAATCTTAAGAGGAGCTTAAACACCCCCTCCCCAGTTTCTTCCTCTCTGAGCGCCGGACAGTGTGGGGCACAGAGGCTGGTATGTGAAGAGCTCCACCAAGGCCAAAATTATGACAACAAAGCTATGGAGAGGTGGTAGACTGGGGGGTGGGGGGCATTGATGTTACACAACAGAAAGAGTCCGGCTCCTCATTTAAATTCAAATCTAGCAGCAGAGAGGCTCGGAGAAGTGGCTCCGCTGGGTAAATAGTGGTTGTGAGTCGCCTGTTTGTGTGAATTGTCACATGGAGGTTTGTGCACCTGAGTAAATATGGGGAGAGAAGCTGGGAAAAGGGCCTAAAGTGTTCTTTAGCTGCTTTAGAATAACAATGCGCGAGTTTTATTGAACTTTCTTTTAATTAAGAATAAATGAGCCCAGAGGCTTTCAGGTTGTTCCACCAATACGCATCAAGGAGCGTCATGGTGCAGAAATGCGCATTGAGAAGGTTCCTAATTAGGCTTGTAACTCGTTTGGTTTAAAAATGTGATTTTATTTTGACAGAGAATTAAATATTATTTGTCTTGAACAGAAAACTCAGTGGCAGCGAAGTCCGGCGGCTGCTTCCCCGGTTCCTCCACCGTCTCCCTCCAGGATGGCACCAAGAAGGCGGTGAGAGACCTCCAGCCCGGTGACCGGGTCCGGGCGGCGGACAGCGAGGGGAACCCAGTGTACACCGACTTCATCATGTTCATAGACCGGGACTCGAGCACCAGGAGGACCTTCTACGTGATCGAGACCGAAACGGGCCAGAAGATCCGCCTAACCGCGGCGCACCTCATCTTCACCGGAAGTGAACGGAACTCCACGCGGATGTCGGCGGTGTTCGCGAGCCAGGTGCGACCCGGACAGCAGGTGTTCGCCTGGGACGGAGAGCGCCTCGCAGCAGTGTCCGTGAAACGGATTTACACGCAGGAGCACGTGGGCTCCTTCGCGCCGGTGACGGCGCAGGGGACCGTGATGGTGGACCAGGTGCTCGCGTCCTGCTATGCAGTGATCGAGGACCACCAGCTGGCGCACTGGGCCCTGGCACCCGTCAGGATCACCCACCGGGTGTCCTCGCTGCTCTTCAGCTCCCGGCCTCAGGGCAGCGCACAGAAGGACGGGCTACACTGGTACTCCAAAGTCCTTTATCAGCTGGGGACATGGTTGTTGGACAGCCACTCCATCCATCCACTCGGGATGTCGGTTTATCCAAGTTGAAACGTCGACAGGAGAAGAGACTCTGGTGTAGGACACTCGAACTGTTCAGTAGCTTCAATTATAAAACAATAAAAAACAAACAAAAAAAACAGAACAAACGAGACAAAGGCCCCAGCGGAGTCTGGATATTTATTTCAGAGACTTTTCCCTTCAAAGAATGGAGCCTTAAATATTTTTTTCCTCTTTGAATAATTTATTCTCATGTGAACTCTGCTGCTGTCCCAAAAAAAAGGACTCTGAAACAGTGCCAGCAGCAAAATGTGCATAATCTATTTTTGTATATCTCAACTGCAAAAAAGATGAAAAAAAATTAAGAAAAAAATGTTTAAAAAAAATAAGAAAAATACTGCAAAGAGAACGAAGGTGCGCCAGACTGACGGAAAACTGACTGTTATATTTTGGGGGAAGAACAAACTTCGCGGGGTTCCATAAATTATATTTTTATACACAGAATTGTAAATTAGATTTTGACAGATCGCTACAGAATCACGTTTCGTTATTTGAAATAGTGTAAGATATGAGAATATATTTTAATTTAAAAATAATACAGTAGCTGGGAAAAGTATTGGACTTTTGTTTATTATTAGGAACTTTATAATAATAATAATTATTATTATTATGTAAACTTTTGTCACAGAGGGGCAGGTTTGCCTCATGTCTGCTTTGGTTTGGGAGGGGGGTTGTCTCCATTTTTCTGTTTTCCTTTTGAGAAAAAAAAAACATCAAAATGCAGATTTCTGACAGTAACCGCTAAAGTAGAACTGAAGCAGTTTGGTTGAATAAATTAATTAATAAGTAACTCCTGTAAATGTACTAAATGTTATTTTTCTTTTCATATTTTGTTATAATAGGGAACTAGTTTTCTATAGAAGATGACCTGCGGCAGATGCAGTCTTGGATAGTCTACATAGGCGGACGATAACTTTCATAACAGGGCGATGTGTCAACAAATGTCTAGAGTTTATAATTTATATGTTTATTACAAAATGAGATAAAGAAACTCTTCAAAACTTGCAGTTGTCTTTGTTTAAATGAGCCCAAAAACACCATCAGACATTTTCCAATCTTTTTAAACATGAGGAAATTTAATTTTACATCCATTTCAATCTTCATTATGAACTTTTTCCACTTAACGGAGTTATTTTTGGTCTGCTGAGGCGCAAAAATGCGCAAACAGGGTGGCTCCATTTGTTTAAAATGCAGAATTTTGCGCTTTGAACTGCCTTTTGCGTGCTTGTGAAATGTTGAGAGCCCGTGTCAGATTTAACGAGGTCTGCCCTCCGCAAACAGCCTCCAACCCGCAGACTGAATCAACAGGAGCGGGTTTGTCTGCCGCTTCAGGTCAAAAATCCGTACATTTGCGGTCCAAATCTCAGCTCCGTTAGTCCCAACAAATCTCCATAATCCTTCTGCATCCTCATAGTTCAGCGTTTAATATGGAGCTCCCACGTGGAGGAGTCGCGAGCCGAGCGCATCTTTCTCAAGTCGATGACAGCATCAGTTTCGCCCGTTTAGAGGTTTATACGCGGCGCAATGGCGACATCTTGTGGCCAACAGTTAGTACTGCAGACAAAAATTCTTTTGCACTGAAACTTTTTGTGAAACAAAAATATTGGAAATATTCAGATAATTAGAAATGTGCTAAATTAAAAATACATGATTACCAAAAGGGATTTCAATTTTATATAAAGATTTTTTTGAGAAACCAAATGCTAATTTTTCCAAGACCCCCCCCCCCCCCACACACACACACACACACACACACGCACACATTTCACTTCCAAGTAGTTAGACTTGGTTGTTGTAACTTTTTAAAAACTTATCCTTTATCATTTGAATCTATTCCTTTTTTTGTCCAGTCCTGGACCATTTTCTGTCTCTAAAGCCTCTTAAACACCTGATCAGTGAAGCTTTCAGGTATAAAAAACCTCCTAAACTTCAATGACAACCAGTGTCTACATATAGACACACAACTTCATATTGATTTTAGGCGCTTATACCAGACTTCCTTTAGCTGTATTTCAGCACCAATCAGCGATCTTTTGGCTCAGAAGTGTCCCACTCTGGTCTTGTAGGCCACCATCCTGCACCTGATTTTAATCAGAGGGTGATGAACAGGCGAGCTGCTGCATCAGCTGCGAGTCCTCCACTAGTCTAGTTTCCTCACATGGTCACGACAAGCAGCCAAAGTCCAAATAAAACATCTGAAGAGATTTTACGACCAAACAAGTCCACCTCCTTGCAAGGATGCCACTTCGAATCAAACGTTTACTCACATGATGTGATTTTGTATTTATGTCATTGTGGCTCAATGAAGCCAGAAGGAGCCGTTTAACCAGAGTTTCGGAGCACTGTTGCAACATGAGCAGGAATTCCATTTTCCTTTCCTACATTGTGTTGTGCTGTTGATATTGTGAGGTGGAAACTTAGAGGAGGAACAAAGCGGCCCATCTCTCCCAGCTCTGTGACCTTGGGTCCCTGTCAGATACAAAAGCGTCCATGCAGGGCAGCATTCCTCAGAGCAGGTAAACAGAGCCTTCTCTAATCCCTCTGGGGGCCCACAGTCTGCTGCAGCTCAACAACGCTTTTACAAATGTTGACTTTTGCAAACATGAACAGTCTGGCTTTTGGAAAACAAAACTCCCCCGCGTCTAAGAGAGGGCAGCAAATGGCGTGGCGTGGTTTGTCCGTGAGACATCTGACCGTCTCTGATGTCTTCCAAGAACCAGGAGTTTATCACACACATGAAACCTCAGCAGAAGCTGATTACAGGACATTTACGCTTTAGCTTCATGAACCAAAATGAGCTTTACTTTTTCTAACATAACACAACATAAACTACATAGTTTCCCTACTTTTCTGCATATTATAGATGCTTTTAAACAATTTCATGAAACACAAAGTCATCTTCAGCCCTCACGAACCCAAATCATTCATGGAAAACAGATTGGAATAAATTCATCAACATGTAGAAATAAAATAAAGAAGTAAAATAATTTTCAGTATTTGAATGGATAGAATGTCACTTGGGGTTGACAAACTAGAATTAATGACTCAGCAGGCAGATGTTTGAAATGGGCTGTGACACCAGTGTCACCATGGGTCCTCAAGGGTTCAAAGCCTACAGCTCTTATCTATGATGTAAATTGAGAGAACTTAGGTCAATTTAATTTCTTGTGAGGTTTAGAGCTCTACATAGCATTTAAATTCTGACTCTACTCTTTAGATGATATTATTATCATTAAGAGAAGACTTTATAGATCCCACAGTGGGGAAATGTGTATGTTACTACAGCTCAAGACAGATAGCAAAACAGTACAAAAGTAACTAAGAATGAAAAAAAAAAAAAGGAGAGAGACACTATACATCAGTAGTTCCTATGTATACACATCACAGTTCAGTCCCTACGCCCCCAGCAGGTCCCTGAGGTCCTGTGATCTACGCCTGGTTGTGCAGCACCAGGCTAAAGACCAAAGGTGACAGATCATTTGCTGCTGTGGCCCCCAGAATCTGCAACTCTCTCCCCCTGAGCCTGAGATCAGTGGACTCTGTGGTCTCCTTTAAAAAGCAGCTGAAAGCTCACCTGATCAGGCTGGCTTTGGTGTGACCTTCATCACCCTCTTCTTATTCCGCCTTTCACAGGATCCACTGATTTCCCTCATTCCTATTTTGAAAATGAGATGACACATCTCAAGCAGCATAAAATATAAAATAATGTTTAAAAATGTCTTATTTTCATTTTTAAATCACTTATTTTCCAATTTAACCTTTTTTTTTACTTTTTATTTTTATTTTTTATATTTGAAATTTTTGGTTCTTGTGAAGCGCCTCGTGATTTCCATCTTGAGAGACGCTATACAAGATTGTTTTCGTTCTTTCTTTTGCACATACACAGGAAGCATTGTTGATAGTTGTGAAAAAATAATACATAAAACATTTATTAAATACTTAAAAATAAAGAAAAAACATTTAGTAAAAATGAGCAAGACAAAAGTTTAAAGTGGTGAATTTTCTAGCTAACTTTTGGCTTCTGCTTCCACTGTCCAGAGGTGCTGCCCTCTAGTGGGCATCTATGATTATTGCAACAGACTTGTTTTGCCCACAGAAAGGAAAAAGATACTTCTGATTTTTGCCCTTTTGACTACAAACAGTAGTTCTGACTTATCATTATTTCAAAATGTAAATTGTGTTTTTTACTAAATCAATATCACTGTTTAAAGAAATTAAAGGTGACTTTAAAAAAATACTTTTTGTTTTCATAAAGAAAACGTTTAATATCAATAACAACCGCAAGAGGGCGCTACAGCGAGCAGTAGCTGATACAAGCTAGGTCAGGGCTTCGTTTTCCATTGTAGATAAACCAAAACACTTTTGTTTATATTTTGATATTAAATGTGAAATATTCTGTTTTCTAGTTTTATTTCATCAGATGGTACTTAACCAGTTACAGTGATTATTCTTTGTCAACACGTTTTTAATATTGTAAACAACTGCCACCAAAGATAAAAAATACCCAGCCTACTTCTACATTTTGCACTTTTGCCTTTGCCTGATTCAGCTAACCGTTAAATGCCTCCAGTTTGATTTATTTTGACAATACTTTCTAATTTTAAACCGTGTCTCCATTCATCGATCCACCGGGAGCGACTTAATTTAGCGTTTTTGAAAAACGGGTAACTTTTTCATCTGCTTGCCTTGATAATATAAGTGCACTAATTCCTTAATGTAAATAAATAATCTTTAAATGTGCTTATTTTTTCTGGCACTTCACATAATAAAGTTATAAAGCTGCTCACACTCTTGATTTGTTTTGTAGGAAAGCAAAATAAGTCTCAACAGAAATGCGGCACATTAAACAATGGTCATAAAACTTTATCGTCATTTACACAACAAATGACAATAAGACATTTGTTGTGCGCATCAATGATTTTTATTTTTCACTTTTTAGATTTGACAAGTTAGAAAATTCACATTTTTGACACCATTGTTGGAATATTTCATAATAAATGTCTTCAGAATTATGCAACACAAAACACAACCAGATCATTGGTGGTAAATGTGAAAAACAGTCAAGAGTTTCAGTTAAAAGTCAACAGGTTGGACTGTTTTACTCTTCATTTAGTGAAACAACAGTTTGACACCAGGAATCCCAAGTCTCATGAAAACCTCGACCCAACAGTGAGTGTGCAGAAGCCCAGACGAGCTGTGGTGCAGAGAAAGCCACAGACGGGTTTAGAGTTTAGATCTGCTCTGTGAACCCGGATGTCGCCACAGAGGTGGAAACCTTCATCCCACTGATCCAGAAAGGCCGCCCTGCTGCTAATCTTTCTGCAGCAGCAGCATTGAGGGAAAGATGAGAAACAGTCAACCTTACAGGTAAGTGGGGAGAAAAACAGGAAGTGATGAAGGAGCAGCTGATCTGGCAGAGAGGTGATTTAAAAAAGTCAAACGCCTTGCTCCAGGCTTGGAGAGCTGCAGGAAAACCTGGAATGTTAAAGATTAAAATGATAAAGCAGCATCTTGGATCCAAGTAGCGACGGCTCCGGTCATCGGTAATCTGTTGGGGAGAAATGGATGAGTTAATCCCAACCCAAGGTGTTCTAGTAAAGGCCATACCAGTGGTTCTGCGTGCTTCATGCAAGATAATTTAAACATATTTTACATTTCACAGGGTGTTTGACACGTTTGCTGTTTTCTTGACAGCTAAATTTAAATTTGCTCATTTGAAGCCAATAAGAGTTAAAAAAAACCACAAGTTTGTGGTCAGAAAAGCCTAAAGCTTCATTTAATGCAGCGACTTACAAGAACTAATAACCTGTTGTGTTGGTGAAAGCACACCTAACAGGTCAAATCTGAATTATTCCAGATCTGTGCTTCAATTTTTATATTTCTGTTTTAAAGCCGTCACATTAAAACTCTGGTTTCACACAGAAACCGTCGGTTTACTATAATATCACAAAACTACTGAACAACGATCACATAAGCCGGTTTTCAGCACACGCCAAAATCTTAGTATGGTCTCCAGAGTAACATGTAGGTGTTGCTGCTCCGTTTAGCTGCTTTCAGCTGGAAAATAAGAGATTAATCCAGGAAATGAACCACCTGCTGGGGAAAAAGGGTCAAATTTAAGTTTTTGTTGTCAAATGTGTAAATTAATAAATAATTAACTTCTGGTTTCTATTTCTAACTGGTGAATATAAAAAAAAACTCCATCACCTACTGACATAGAAAAATGGCTGCCAGTTAAACAACCACTGGTTCACTGTTGCATTAGTGAATAACTTCAATATAAAGTACAAAAGATTCAATGTGAATCTGGTTTGCTGCATTATGAAACATAATGTCTTTTCGTTCAATCCACAGGATTTACGTGTCCTGAAAAGCTCAGGAGCATAAAAACAGTCAATAAATAAATAAATAAGGACAGATCAAAGACTGGAAGGGGAGAAGTGGGTGCAGACAGCAGTGAAACATTTAAAATAAACATTTTAAGGGAAGTCCCGCTGAAGCTGAGAGCAGAATGAATCAGATAGGTGAAACTTTGTGAACTTATAAAAGTGAAAAACCAATAAAATAGTGATTCACAAGAAGAGGGATGAACCGACGTAAACATCAACACTGGATGCCATTCAGATCAGCAGCTTTCTATTTCCTCAGATATATAAAAAACACACCCCTGTGAAGCCACTAAGCTACAGTTACGGTCTCTTACGGAGTGTTGCTGCAGATCAGGAAGTCATCGCTGTTTCAATTTCAGCCCAGGATGTCAAATTTATCTGATTAATAAGTAAACAAAGCAGCGACACCTCCCCAGCAGCACCGTATCAAGTCTAGAATCTTCTAACCTACAAAGAGCGACTCAAAAGGTTTAAATCTGAATATTTCCAAAGCCGTATTTTTGATATACGAGCTGAAGAACCCACAAACTCAGATTCTGTGAAGTACAAGAGATTAAAACAGATAAAAAAAGCTCCTCTCAGACACACGGACGTCACACAGAACCACACATCTCTGGACTAAACTTGAACCGGTGTTGTTGGTATATCCGCCACAATTTTATTATTTTCTCCTCCTTTTTCTGTTCAATCTTCTATTCTTTTGTCTGATGAACAGAAAAATGGTCCGCTCCAAATAGAAACAGTTGTAAAATGATTTCTGACTGGATACATCAGCATAGCCTCTACATAAAAAAGTGTTTAGCTTGATACAAACGAGACAAAAACAAGTCAACAGGGTGAAATTCTGCTAGATCTTATGTACACGGCCAGCTCCACAGATAATGGTTGCCTCCTCGTCGAGAAGGTGAAATGAACGCACGTTAGGGCCACTTTTTAAAATTTCAGTTATATTAAGAAACAGCACTGTGACTATTTTTGGTAAACGTGTCTTTAAGCTAACACAGACGTTTGCTAAACGAGGAAAAAGGTGAAAGAAAACACAAAATAAGCCTAAATTAGACAAAATGGTGATTTTTCTGTGATATATTCCAAAAGCAGGAGTAGAATAAGGGCGGGAAAATCAAAAGCGATGTAAAAGAGAATTTCAGCATGTTTAGGATTTATCTTCATAAGTTCTATTTATAAAAAGACTTTTCTTTTTCCAATGACTATAATTTAAACGGTGATACCATCAGCTTATCAGCCTGTATTGGATCAATTATTCCAACCCAAAAAATACAAAAATAATAAAAAATAATAATTTACAGGAAAAAAATGATCTGATTTCCAAATTTGCTTCAAACCAAAAAATAAATCTGTATCGCATATGAAATGGAAACATAAAGTTCATGTTTACATAACCAAACGAGGAACTAAAAACGGCCTGAAGGTTTACTCTGAGTGCTCCAGTCAAAAGTTAAAAGAGCTGCTGATCTTCTACTAAGAACAACAGAAAAGGAGCCATTATTTAAACTTTTAACCAAAATAAACCAAAAAAATATTTATAAACTACCTAAACTATGTGAAATCCTACTGCTCTGTCTGACTGTTCCCGACATGTCCACTAGGTGGTGCCACTGGATTAAAAAAAGCAACAAAAGGACCAAAAGTGATTAAATACTGCCACCTACAGCGAGACAGGAGAATCTGCAGGAACAACTCTGCATCCAAACTACAAACCATAATAAAAATAAACACTACTGTAGTGATTTCTGAACAAGTGTTCCTTTTGATCTATTATAAATAAGTCGGTGCCGAGGGAAGCAACCATTATCCTGTGACAGGCTCTAATCAAAGTGTCCACTTAGGATGAAAAGGAAAACAAAAGGAACCACATCAGCATCCAGTGTCTGTTATGTCCCAGCTAGTCACGTGGTTTGTATCGTTACACACATGCACACTCAGAGGAACTGTCTTTGTCTTTTAGTTTGTCCACATTAGGACGACGACGACAACGTGCAGGTGTTGAAGGATCCCGTGTGCTGTCCTCCTCATCCGTCAATCAGAGACACCTCAATGTGGGACAAATCAATCATGTGCCTGTGTAGCAATGGTCATAATTACGTCTGAGACACAGTTTAACATCGGCAGGATCAAAATGTGGAACTCTGCGTTCGTCTAACTGTCCTGGGTACATGAATGAAAAGGGGAGAGTGTTGATTACCGATTGAAGCTCGATTGGAAATCAGCTGCATGTTGGGGGTTGGAGAATGTGGCGACAGCTTTCCTCTGCTGGGGCATCATTTTGAACATCTGCAGAGGACAGAGACAGACAGACAACTTGAAAATAGCAAGTCCACTTTTTTTAACCCAACGTCCAAATTAGCTCAACAGAGGGCGCTGTGGTATCACACACATGAAGATTTAATGATTCTACACTAGTAGGTTCAAATAAAATACTAAGATTTTAGCTGAAGGAATGAGTATTAAATATGAAAAGTTGAATATTTAAACAAGTGCCAGGCGTGCTGGAGAAGACAGACAAAAAGAACAACGTTGATGTGGGTTAAATGAGTTTGGCACCAACCTCAATGGGGCCGATGGACTTGAGGAGGTTCTTCAGCTGAATCTCACTGGTAGACGTGGAGAGGCCCTCGATGGAGACGGTACAGCGAGGGGTTTCTGCTCCTCTCAGGTTCTGTTGGACTGACACCGGATGACCCCGACCCATCTGACCACCTCCTCTTCCTTGGCCTCGACCCGTAACGACAACCTGCGCCCGCGCCGAGGGAGATATTGATATGAAACACTCCAGAAAACGTGCATTCAAAACCATTTTCTCCCACGTTTCTCAGACTTTATCACGATTGACTCATCATCTTCCTACAGGGCGATGCACGCCACACAGCATATCTTCATACGATAGAGAGAGAGAGGCGCTTTTTCCCAGCTGCAGAGGTAGATGGGGGAGGAGTGGTAGTGACAGGGATATGATTTTGTGTGTGTGTGTGTGTGCGTAAAGGCAGAGCATTCATGCAGGTGTAGCGGTGGCTGGCGTACGTTGTCAGCATCAGCGAGTATGGAGCCCGTGACAAGAGCCTGGCGGTGACACGCGTGCTGAGAGGCCAGGGGGACCCTGTGAAGCCCTGTTGTGTTGTTCCTCCAAATGTTCGCCGTTCTCTTTCCCTGTAACCAACGCCTGATTGGTACATCTACCCAACCAGACGCTTTTGGCTTCTTTTTCAGCCGAGTTTCAACGAAGCGCTCTCTATTAATAAATGCGTTTTAGGTGAAAAGATTGTTGGCGTTGGTTGCTTCATGACATACCCTGCTTTGCTGTGCATTGCCCCTGCCCCCGCGGCTAGCCTGCGGTGCTCCGCCTGGTCCCTGCTGCTGCTGTCCCATCATGGTCACCTTCCTTTGGACGCTCTGGTTGAGCGGAGATGCTTGCCAGGAACTCTGCTGCTGCACTGGGCTGCTGGTCGCCTCAGGCCCCGCTCCACTCTGGATAATGACAAAACGCCACCAAATTAGCATCTCAAAACGACAGCGTTCATCATAAACTTCACATGAAGGTGAAGTTTTCACAAGAGAGCGGATTTCAATCAGGCGGTCTGCGGAGAACAGATCAACCAAACAAGGTGATGGTCTCATTATCAAATAAAGTCACAGCTCTGCTCTGTTGACACGCGGGGAGGAATTGAAGGTCGTCTTTTCTCCGACTCTGCAGAAAGATGTGACAGATCAATATGTGGGAAGAAAAGCGGCGCTATCTGACCTGTCCCCAGCTGAGAGTAAATGGATTAATCCCTCCTATAGAAATCACAGCTCCTGATTGAGCCCATCAAATGCTAAGCTGCATTACACTGAAACGACAGCAGCTCGATGTGTATCCCATCCCCCCAAACCCCCTTTGTGCTGTGCACTTCTTTGTATTACCCCTGATGAAAATATAATTTGCTTCTTATCTACGTGCCTAAGCTATTCAAATCCAAATCCCTCAAAAGTGGCAACTTTCTTACGCAGGTATTATGAAAGATTAATTACAAGAGCGTCCTTTGTTGCCTTGTACCTGAGCGATGGGTTGATAGAAACAGCAAGTGAAGGATGACAGAGAGGAAAAGAAAAAAAATGAGAGATGACACTGTTGCGCGCTAGTTGTTGACAGCAGAACAATGTGCAAGAATCTTCTTCTCACTCCGATTATTAGCCCCAGCTATTTCCATCCCACTTCCTCTCGTCGTTCCAAGATGCAGGAAATCGGATCGTTCCACACGGGTTTCCATTAACACACTGACACCTAGTGATCTTCATCTTCAGCCAGTCGCCAGTTTTGCTACAGCAGCTTGATCCTCTGAGATGGAAAGCAGCTTAATGCGTCTTTTTAGTATTAATGTTTAACACGCACATCTTTGTGGGTTTTCAATAAAGATTAATGTCCAATTAAGAGCATGAGAGTAGGAAAGAGCCAGCAGTGGTGTTTTTCTCCGGACTTTCCTGGAGAAACTGGTCCTGAAGTAGCAATCTGGAGTTTTCCCCTTTTCAGGAAGGATGTATGATTTTTTTGAAATCGGTAAAAGTGATAGTCTTACACGACACTGTGATATAATGCAGATAGAGGACCCGAGCTTGGAAGGATGGGACCAAACGCCAAGGATGAGATGGGATTTTTTTTATACACATAAACAAATGTGTTTTAGCTCTGTTTGTTGGCTAGAGGTGTGTGTCCACGGTAGGGCTGCACGTTATTAGGAAAATCTGCGATATTCGATAACAGTGCTTAATATTGCGATATCGATATTACTCACGATAAATGAACAAATACTAAAGTATACAGTGTTGATGTCGTCTGGCGTGTGATGTCTGCTCTGGGCTCAAAGCAAACACAAACTAATGCATGAATTCCATTACAACATAACATTTTTATTGCAAAAGTATGCAGCTGCACCTGCTACTGTATTAGCAGCAAAACAACAAACTGCATGCATGCAGTTTCTCTGTGACTTTAAAACATCACCACCACCATAAAACTTTTTCTGATGCTCCAAACATAGAAAAACATCCCTTACCAGGGTTTTTAGAATAAATAAAAAAATCTGAAAATAAGTTTAAATGTTAAATAATAGTTAACATCACTTAAATGCAACAGCAAATTCTCTCATTGCTACTGAGCATTTTCTCCACTTATGTGGTTATGATATAAGGCTGTTGCTGTAATTGGGAAGTGATCTGTGCTGGGCCAAACTAGGAAAATATTAAGATTTTTTGAGGGAAAAACAATTGTTTACCTTTCAGAAGAGGAACTGGCAAAAAAACTACATGGAAAATATGTGAAAATGTTTGTTTTTAACCCGAAATTGAACAAGTTTACCTAGATCTTAAAAAGCAGCTCAGATGATGAAACTGCAACTATGATTCTGATAACAAGCTAACACATTGAACTAGCTCCTCTTAAGATAACTGGCTAGCAGAGCTTCTGACTGACAGTTTATGTGCAGCAGCAAATCAACTATCCTGAATAACAAGGTTATAAAAGCTCATAAATGAAAAATCACTTTGATGTGTGGGGGAACTTTTCCAGGCCCTCTTTAGCAGGGTGGGAGTGGGAGGAGAGTGCTGTAGCCTTTTATCTGGAAGCTAACCGGAGCCTGGGGCTAACATCACCACCCGGTGGAACACTAGCGACATGAAGGTGGGTTGGTTCACCGGGACGTGTTGGGAGTCAGCCCGGTAAAAATGATTAACGACACCGAGCGGAATCACGTTCACATTTGAAAGCAGCGCTGATTCCAGAAACCTCAGCACAAAGTGCGTTCGTTGCTCTGAGCCAGCATAGCGAACAAGGGAACGGTGCCGCTAACTCAGTTCGAGTGTTGCTTTCCATCCTAAGGGTCTACGTAGGGGGCGGGCGTATTACATGAACGGACCCATCTGATTGGCTGCATATCAAAAGGCCTACATTTGATTGGTCAAATAATACTTCTGCGTAAAAAACAGAGCTGGTTTACAAAAAGTTGATGTATGACACGGATGGAAATGTTGAACCAAACATTTATCGCCATTTTTGGCGTGCTTTGCGATGGGCCTATCGCACGTCCTGTTATCGCGATGACGATAATTTTTCGATATATTGTGCAGTGCTAGTCCACGGTATGTGGCCTGTATTTGTTTAGCGCCTTCTTAGGATTCTACAATTCCCCATGGTGGTTCACAACACAATCAGTCATTCACACGCTGGTGATGAGCTACGATGTAGTCACAGCTGCCCCAGGGCGCCACCGGACCCTCTAACCACCACCAGTAGGCAAGGTGGGTTAAGAGTCTTGCCCAAGTACACAACAGCAGCATTCTCTGGTTGGGGCCAGAATCAAACCTGCAACCTTCCAATTACTGGACAACCCGCTCTGCCATGAACGAAAGGGCCTTGCTTCCAGCCGTAATCTAAAAAGTGTGACACATTTTTTCCACCTCTACATTTCGCCCTCTAAGAATATTTTTGGGATTTCTGCTTTAAAGAGAATGTGATGTTTTTGCTGAGTTTGTTGGAAAATTTCTCATAAACCACTGGACGGACTCAGGATGTAATAACGGGATGGCAGACTGGGAGCCTCAAACAGAAGGACCAAACTAAACCAATCACGGAATTTATTCCTAAACAACAGACTAGACTAAGGGTGGGGATCACAAACCAGTTCTTGTTGAGAACCAGTTCCCACTAGAAATCGGTTCCAGTTGGCATGAATGATGTCACCATGCACATTGCATAGATTACGGATTTACTAAGCAAGAAACATGGCGACTAAGCGGCACAAGTGCTCGAAAGTTTGGTTACACTTTACGAGAAAGGATTCAATTAAAATTCTAATTCAAACATACTTTAATAATCCTAGAGGGAAATTCAATTATTAATCCTAGAGGGATTGCCAAAAGGGCAACTTGCAATACTTGCAAAGTAGATACCAAAGGGAGAAAACACTACGAATACGCTAAAGCATTTACACACAACATATACAACAGCTTAAGATGAATGTTGTGTGTGTGACCCGCTCCGGACTAGTGAATTTCTATGTTAATACTGCAGGTAACTAATCATCTAATGCAGCCTATCATGTTAGTGTCATTGGCCTTATAAACACACACCGCCACACTAGCAGGCTCCAGACCTGTGGTGGGATTTTGTTTAGTTTGCATAAGCTACAGCAACACTACTAGAAGATGACTGCCTTCACAAAGAGCATAAAAGGGAACATTTGGAAAGATAATTTCCAATGACACCAGGTGCAATCGATTATTTATCATTAATTAATAGACAGTTTTAATGCAGGAGACTGTGTACTCGTGAAGTGATAAGGAATTGGACTGATAGACAGAATCGACAAAGGCATAATACTGATAAAAACGTACTAACTCCCACCCCCACAAGAGACTACGTTGAGGAATATGTTGACATATAGATGTTATCTGTCATTCCCATAGCAACTTTTAATTCATCACATTTCACAATGAATCCTAACATAACACCCATAAATGCTAGCTAATGTAGCTGGCCCATCTCTGGGTTTGCATCCTGATCAGCTGCTTCAAATAAAATACGCCACTCGGGCTAAAAGAGGGGTATGTGCACATGGGAAAGGGCCGGCCGAAGGGCAGTTTGCCAGATGGATCAGGATCCAATCATTAAAGGTATTGTGGAGGATCTTTTTCTTCCAGGTGGATCATCTGAACCATTGGTGCGCATTAACTGTCAATTGTTCTGGTGAAGTTTTTCACGCAAGGCCGTCGTTGTGCGTGCTGTTCCTAGTTTTCACTTCCTGCTATTCTGCATTCTGTTTATGTGTAGAGCGATACGCTTTCATTCCTCGCCGTTTTCAGTCCATGAAAAGAAGAGAAAGACTTCCAAAGTGAGAAATAAGACCAGTGTTTTTAGGAGACTCTTTTCAATGAAGGCTGGGCTCCTCACAGACACCTCCATCGCCGGTTTTCTGCTGGAAGGGTAAGCTAAAGTTAGCGTGCTATTTGGAAAAATTCATGTCAGATTACTGCCAGAAGAAGTGCTGCAAGGCCAGCAGCTACTTGTAAACAGAGCGTGCACGAGGATAATTGGGTGTTGTCCCTCAGGTGCATTTTTTCAAAACGTGGAGAGGGCGGTTATTTCCTGAAATTCAGAAACATCCTTTACCATATCTTGAAGAACAGGACGTCCACAATGATTGGAGGAGGCTGTTGCAGAATTTTAGGTTTCAGCTGCGATTACAATGATTTCTTTTGTTGACAAAACAATTTAACGGTTGCCATCTGTGTGCAAAGTGCATTTCTAGCAGTATATTCTAGAAAAACATTTCCTACCCCACCTTTAAATGAAAAAAGTAGTAGTACTATTCAGTCAATTTACAGAAAATCCATCATACTGTGATCATTACCAGGATGAGATTATCCTATTGCATTGCCATTACTACTGCGACGGATGTAAAATTATGTTTTAGTAACAAAATCTCTCATAATACAAACTCTAAACACTAAGATGGAGGCAAATGCTGTAGAATTACATATTTCCCTCCAAAAAAAAAAAAAAACCAATATCAGTTTAAAACTGTGGTCTTAGAGATGGTGAGTGATGTGTCTTTAGGAGAATGTCCTGAAAAGAGGACATCAACCTTTAAGAGTGGAGACGAGGTGTCCTCAACTATACGGATAAATGTCACACTGCCCTCTGTGATGCCTCCAGCCTTTCTGTGCTACAAACGTATGTAAAGACATTCTTTAAATATCAGTTCCCACCGCTTAAAAGAAGAAACTTAACAGATCAATTTTGCCAAAATGACACAGACATCACTGTGTCATTCTCATAGGTTAGACATCAACGAGAATACAACATAAGACAGGGAGAACCATCGATGGCATTTCCGTTTTAAGCCATGTGGTCGCCCCTGTGGGAGACCACAGTACGGTAAAGGATTAAATGAATGCCAAAGACGAGGACAAAAGGATTTAAAAATGAAACTATATGCTCACCATGCCTGAAAGTTTGACAACTCTGACTTTTTGTGGCACCTGCTGGCTTTCCACTCCAGAAATGCTGACTCGTTGCATTACGGTTCTTTTAGCCGCAGGCCTTGGCCCTTGAGTCTGACCTGGGCCTTGAGTCCTTGATGCGTTCTGAGCGACTTGAACAGCCTCAGCTGGAGCATTGAGTCTGTTTACAATCTGAACAGAATTGTTCCTCTGCTGCTGCTGCTGGGGATCCTTCCACTGCTGTTCAGGTGCGACACCGGGGCTTTGCTGCTCCTGTGTGAAGCCTTTAACCATCTGCAGGCGTGACTTGACATTGGAACGAGGTGCAGGGGTCTGAGCGGTTCCACTAGGAGGCAGGGCATTGTCTTGATTCAGATGCCTCAGTGTGTAGTTTAGCATCTGTGGCATCCTCTGAGGGGCCGGTCTCTGGTGCTGTGCTTGCAGCTGAGGACGTGTTTGTTCCGACAGCGGCGGCGGTTGCGGCAGTAGCGGCTGTTGGAGTTGTTGCTGTGGCTGTATGGGGTGTGGTCTGTGCTGATTAAATTGTAAAGGCTGAGTCTGTGTAGGAGCAGGGCCTTGATTTGGTGTGTTTGTTTGAGAATTAAGTCTTTCCAGAAGCTCCTTCTTTCTGACTCCTGCTTGCATCTGCCGCCGCAACTCCTTCTTTCTGAGGATCTCCTCCCTCAGACGCTTCTGCTCCTCAATCTTCAGACGATACTGCCGCGTCTCCTCATCTTCATCGGGGTCCTGTGGCACAAAATACATAAAAATCCAGGATTATTACCTGTTTTTACTACATAATGGTTAAACGTAATCATTCACTTTATTATTTATCTTTTGTAAGGATAATAGATTTTTTTATCTGATAGAACCAACTGCTGACCTGTGGTTCGGACTGGGATGGTGAGCTCAGGGTTTCCATAGTAACCACCGTCCTGCCCGCCCCTCCATGTTGAGAAAATGTGTTTGGAGCTTGGCCTCTTCCTCTGCCGCCGCCAGACGTCGGCTGCGCATTCTGCCCCGGACGCGTCCCCAACGTTGCCCTGGCAACGGGCCTGATGTTGGCAGCTTGGGAGGCGGGGGTTGGGGTGGGGCGGGTGTTGTTCATGTTTGTGTTAGCAGGTGCTACGGGGAGCTCCCGCAGGTTGCTATTGCGCTGCTGCATTTGCTTGGAAATAGGTGTGTTCTGGAGCCAGAATAAGACGTAAACAATGAACTCAGACTTTATTTACGTGGTCAGATCCAGTTCCATGACAGAACAGCATCAAGAGAAATACAGAAAACAGATAAGTCAAATATGTTAATCTCTTACCATTCGCTGCCTGTTTGACATGTTGCGCTGTTGGGGGTTCTGAGGGCGGGGAGTCATCTGCCTGGGGCTGCCGTGCTGTTGGTGGAATAGATTCTGGCCGTGGTGTGTCATGGGGCGAGACTCGCCGAGATTGATCTGTTGCTGACGGGGTAAGTCTTGCCTGTGGTGGTGTTGCTGCTGGTGCAAGGGAAGGGGAGACATTGTGTCATGATGTGGGAGCTGGGGAACAGGGGGGGCGTGCATCAAACCCTGAAACGTAGAGTAAAAAGGAACAATTATCAAGTGAACCTAATTTACAGATTTATATTGGGTGAACTCTGGTGGATTAACCTTTTAATAGGCATCCCCGTGTAATAATAAAATTGGGATTCAAACGCTAGGGGGCGCTCTCGTCTATGCCCCTGTTTCATCAAAACTTCACATGCTCTGAATATGACAACTAGTCACATCAAAAAACCATTTTTAGCAAAAAAAAAAAAAAAAACCCGAGAGACAAACGGAGCAGAAGCAGAAAAACAGCATCACAAACACTTCGACATGAATTAGTCATTAAAATCACTTACTCTCAGTCGTACCTGCATCCCAAATTGAACTTGTGGTGGGGGGAAAAGGTTTCCTTGCTGGCCGAAGGGCTGACGAGGGCCCATGAAAGGCCTGGGCTGGTTAGGGGGGCCACCTTGTTGATTCAAGTTCATCATCCCCTGGTGACCTTGGTGGGGAGGGAGGTTGGGTCTTGGGGGTTCTCTCTGAAACAGCCCTAGTGGACCCTGGTTGGGCTGGTTGAAGGGCGGCGCTGGCGGGCCGAAGCCCAAGTGGCCCTGCCCAGGCAGCTGCTGCTGCTGCTGCTGGTGGAGGCTGTTGCTGTTGTTCAAAGAGCCGGGGACCTGGTGATCAAACATGTGCTGCGCTGGAAACCGTGCTGCATCTCCACGATCTGTGTCCACACAAGGAAGACCATTATAAAAAACAAGAGATGTCAATTTGTTTGTTTACTCGAGAGCCAAAATCAGTATCGATAATCCCCTCTCCAGATGTGTGGAATTACAGCAGGAAAAAACCAAACAGCTCTATCAACAATCAGGTCATTTTATCATGTCTGCATTAACTATGTGAATGAAAAGTCATAAATACGTATTTTTAATGCTTCTTTTCCAAGGTTCATTCAGATGTATACATATACCTACATGCATTTAACATGAGTTCTGCCAACACTGCAGCACCAGAGGGCTGGCAGCATACCCTCTAGGTATGGCGCTAGAGGTGATGAATGGGGTTAAATATGCTAAGAGGGCTCTGGAACACTCATCAAGGTCTGGGTGTGAGACTCACCTCCCATAAACTGGGGCTCTCTGTCCCTGGGGCCTTGAGGTGGCTGGGTCTTCAAGGGCTCCATGAAATGAGGGGGCCGCTGGGGCGGACCAAAATTACCTGGCATGTGCTGCTGGAACTCTCCCATTCCCTGAGATAAATAAAGCAAAACTCATAAATTATCTGCCATCCTGGAAACCCAATAATCAAAAACAAATTCAACTAATAGAAAATGGAGATCGGTGGTGGAGGGTGCTTGTAATTGAAGCGCTGGGGTCATTACACAAATGTAGAATCCTGAGTGGTAAACATCAATATGTATGCCAATATCAAAGGAACCCTTCAGCATGAATTCTTGAACAAACCTGCATTAATGTTACTCGGGGCTCTATTGATAAATCCTAAAGCCAGCTTCTAACAAGGAGCGGGTATTTCAGGAGGGAATAGGTGCCCTCATCTTTGTTTCACTACTTCTTATGTTTGACAGCTTTCTACTCACGGCGTACACTCCACTCCCAATCAATTTACCCAAGAAAACTAGATAACAACTGTTTAATCCCTCCTTGGAATTTGAATCCCCCTCATAACCGCCTCCTTTATTCTTTTAAACATCCACCTCTGTTGAAAAATTAACCTGCTATTCAACACGTGGCACTTACACAAATGGGCAGCTTGCCTCCTTCAAGCTTATTGTAAATTACTTAAGATGGTATCAAGGCCTAATCCATCTTTATTCCACCGCTGCGTGGAGGTATTTAGAGAGGAGAGGTGTTAGAAAGCAAGGCCAAGAGTCCCAAAACTTGCTTAACATAAAGTTAATCATAGGGGCTTAGAAAGACGGGGGGATAACAAAGGGGGCACAATCGTGCCTTTTCTAAAAGGTCAGGCAGCCAGGTTTACACAATGAGGACTCTGGTGTCCATATAATACCTCTCAAATACCACAGCTCATCCTCTCACTTCTAATCCCTGATAAAACAGCGTCAGGAATGCTCAATATTTAACCGATTCCGGTGCAGCTCAAAGCTGAAATGCACACGGGCCAAATGTTAAAGTACTTAATGAATCATGGCAACTTCAGTTAAAAAGATGTTTTGTCTCTTGGTTTTGTGTTGATGTCTTAGCCATCAACGACTTGAGAATTGCAGTTAAAAGATAACACCGGTTTTTCACTGCGAGGAAGCATTGAACTGTGTAATATTTTTGCTAAATGAATAATTAATGTGTGGTTTTAAACTATAAGAGTAAATGTTTTATACCCTGACTGGCCGTCATGTTGTCTTATTTCAGACGAGATAATTAGGCAGAAATTTGGAGTTTTTTTTGTCAGAGGTCACCATCTAGAGGCAGAGAAATGTACTGCACTTTACTTCTCTTACTTCTGTGACTACGGCTAGAAGCAACGCCTCTAGTCGGCCAACCGAGCAAAAACACACCGTTTTACAATTGTTCTCACGTTACACGGTCAGACATAAATGTCACACCATACCATACCAAGTTTATTTGTATAGCACATTTAAAAACGGCATGAGAGCCGACCAAAGTGCTGAACAAAAACACACAATAAAAACAATCAAAAATAAAAACTAAAACCATTAAAATCGAGTAATCCAACTCGAAAAGAAAAGGAGAAAGAGAATAAGTTAGACTGAATTAAAAGCCAACGAATAAAAGTGAGTTTTTAAACGAGACTTAAAAACGGAAAGAGAGGAAGAGAGTCTGATCAGGAGGGGCAAGTGGTTCCAGAGCTTCGGTGCACAAACCGAAAAGGCACGCTCCCCGCGGGATTTACAGCGGGAGCTAGGGACATGTAGGAGGTGCTGGTCGGCTGATCGGAGGGATCTTGTAGGGACATCAGGGTGAATGAGCTCAGACAAGTAGCCAGGTGCTAAGTTATTGAGGGATTTAAATACAAAAACCAGGATCTTAAACTCTATCCGGAGATGGATGGGGAGCCAATGGAGATTTGCTAAAACCGGTGTGATGTGTTCTCGCTGCCTGGTGCCAGTCAAGAAACGAGCTGATGCGTTCTGCACAAACTGAAGTTGAGCGAGAGCGGAGGAGGAGATACCAAAGAGCACTGAATTAGAATAGTCGAGATGGGAAGTAATAAATGCATGGACAACTGAATGGAGATGACGCCTTTTTAAAATGGGCTTAACTTTAGAGAGACGCCTCAGGTGGTAAAAACAGGTCTTAACTACCTGGTTGACATGTAGGGCTGGGGGTAAACGATTATTTTTAAAACGATTATTCTGACGATTATTTTATCGAATAGTCGACTATTCTAATGACTATTTAGAAAATTAATCTAATGATTATTTTTCTATTGCACAATTAACAAAAACCAGAAAATCTCAAATAAATTCCTCAAAAAAATTGATAAATTCTTACTGTAAGAGAATAAACACTACAGGCCTTCCATTTTGTATAACACTGCGTTTATTGTGTTGGTTTTCTGGTGATGTGTAGAACCTGGGAGTGCAGGCTGCTGCCTGAGAGGTGGTAGAAGATGGAGTGTCTCCATGCTGCTTTGTTTTGGTCACTTATGTGCGTGAGGCGAGTGGTCTTACATTTTTAACTAAACCGAAAACCCACAACACTCTAAATGTAATAAAAGGGAGATCTACACCACAAAAAAGATGAACTCTAAACCAAAACGTAACAGCTTATCCCAACGCAAGAAGCTGTTAGCGAAGATGCTAACAGTAGCTTTACCAACGTTAAGTTCAAGTTACCAAGTTTAAATAAACCAAAAACACCCAGCAGCAAACAGACCAGCACGGAGGAGAGACTGCTACCACCAAAACAGCTCTCCTCATGTCTGAAAGAAGCTCCTTAATGAAGGGAGAAGCGCTCCCGGTGATTTTTAACATCTGCGACAGAGACGGAGCAGCGCACATCTGACCCCGGAAGTTGTTGTCCGTTGCCGGGAGACGAAGGGGCAAAACAGGAAAATAATCTAGTAGTGGACGGACGTTGTTCCGGGTCTTCGGTATTTGGCGGAGATGTTAGTGAAGGCGGAGAAGAGGGCGAACTAGAGGAAAAACAAGCAGATTCCTCCTCTATTTACAAACTCCTGGGGATGCAACAAGTGAGCGAAGTGCGTCGACTTCCGGATCTGACGTCGACAAATTTTTAGAATCGAGCCGTCGACTTCGTCGAGGCTTCGCTACAGCCCTATTGACATGAATGTCCATTTTTAGTTTAGCATCCATCACAACCCCTAAGTTTGTGACACGGGTTTTCAACCCACTTGTGATAAAAGGAAGGGTCAGTTGGGGACTTTGAGAAGTCTTAGGGCTGAAAATGATGGCCTCTGTCTTGGCGTTGTTCAGCAAAAGAAAGTTTTCTGACAGCCAGCTCTTCACATCATTCCAGCATTCAACAAGGGGCTATAAGGAGTCATTAGGCTTCACAGATGCATATAATTGGCAATCGTCTGCATATAAATGGTAGTCAATGTGGTTTTTTTTTTAAATGTCACCCAGGGGCAAAATATATAAATTAAATAAAAGGGGTCCAAGAATAGAACCCTGAGGAACACCTCAAGTCAAAGCTGCAAAGGGGAGGCAGCACTACCCATCATAACATTAAAGCTGCAGTCACAGAAGTAGGACCTAAACCAATCTAAGGCAGTCCCCTGAATGCCGACCAGCTGGTTCAGCCGAGTCAGCAGAATAGCGTGATCAACCGTGTCGAAAGCAGCCGATAGATCCAACAAAACCAGCAATACATTAGAACCAGAGTCAAGGGTTAATAAAATGTCATTAAAAACACGAAGATGAGCTGACTCAGTGCTATGGAGGGATCGGAAGCCTGACTGGAAGGGATCCATTAAACCATGATCATCAAGATAAGAAATAATTTGGTTAAAAACAGCACGCTCTAGTAGTTTTGATAGAAATGGAATCTTGGAGATCGGGCGAAAATTACTCATAACAGAGGTGTCAAGGCCAGGCTTCTTCAGAACGGGTTGAACTACTGCATGTTTAAAAGCACGGGGAACAACACCAGTGGATAAGCTGTTGTTAATAATGCTCAGCATAAGGGGGCCAGTGACAGAATATGGCTCTTTAAGGAGGTGTGGAGGGACAGGGTCAACAGGAGAACCTGAAGGCTTCAAGGCAGACAAGAGGTTCTCAAGAGAGGACAAAGAAAGTAAGTCAAAGTTATCAAGAGACCGTTGCAGAATGGGTTCCGGACAACTAGTGACATAGGGAGAACAAATCTGAGCCCGGATGCTAGCAATTTTTCCAAGAAAAAAATTTCATAAATTGAGTGCATTGAGCATCCGAGGTAGTAAGAGAGTGGTGGTCACTGGCTGAAAGAACAGCATTGAGGGTCTGATACAGGACACGCTGGTTGCCAAAGGATGCAGTAATGATATTTGAAAAGAATTTATTACGGGCATCTCTAACTACTTTCTGGTAACGAGCCCAGGTATGTATCATTATTTGGTAGGAAATCTGGAGCTTATCCTTTTTCCATCTACGCTCGGGTCTTCTGCACTCACGCCTGACAGATCTGGTAGTTGCATTGATCCAGGGATCCGACCGAACTTTAGAGTGTCTAGTTCTCATAGGGGCTACCTGATCTAGCACAGTAAGGCAGGAAGTTTGAAAAAAGTGCAACAAATCATCAGTGCTGGAAAACACCGGCAAAGTGGAAACAAGATCAGTGAATAAAGTACAGAATTCTGTTGCAGTAGATGGAGTAAAAGATCGGGCTCTGCGAGCAGGCATTAAATTAATTAAAGAGGCATTGGATCTATGAAGGCGAAACAAAACCGGGAAATGATCTGAAATATGGACAGCATCAACAAACAGGTCAGTGATCTTCAAGCCATGAGTGAGAACCAAGTCCAAAATATGAGAGCGTTCATGTGTTGGCATATTAACCAACTGGGCCAGGCCAAAAGAGTCAATAACATTTAAAAATTCTCCCACAAGAGGCTTCTCAGGGCAGCAAACATGAATATTAAAATCACCTAAAGAACACGGTCATAGTGTGAACAAATAAGATAAAATATCAGAAAACTGGGTTATAAAGTCTTTGCTGTATTTGGGAGGACGGTACAGCAAGGCACAGAGAACGGGAGGTGAAGAACACAGTTCAAAGGCAGTTAACTCAAAGCTGGTAAAACCAGGGAAGGAGTGAGCACCACCTCACCCCTGCCACGTGGACCTCAAGGGATAAACCATCAGTCCTGCTCAATCGTCAACTTTCCTCGTGGGGTCACCCATTAAGACAGTGGGAGGGTTGAATTAAACTGACAAACTTGTCTGAAGACATTTCTTGCCATTAAAGTTCTTTTGGTTTTTCGAGATTGTAACAGAATTTTTATGATGATGCATTTTTTTGTTCTATGTTAAAAAAAACCTAATAGAGATTTTCCCCTGAAAACTTGATAAGCCTGGAGGGCCGCCCCATGCGAGGCGGGGGGTTGCAATGCGCACGGATCGCTCCGCTGTTGTTCTTCGTCTGGGAGAGCGGGGGTGGGGCATGGATCGCTCCGCTACCGTTTCTCGTCAGTATACATAATTTTTTTGGTAAGATTAACTCAAACGCACGCACACTCTGTGATTGACATCTGCATGTAGGCGGATCTCTAACACTATTGGCTAATGCCGAGCAGCACTCAATTCAAATTACATGGGGCTCTATGGGACAGGGGCAGGCTTTGCAAAGACAAAATTAAGGTTTTGACAAAATTATATTAAAGTATAGGGGAAGACTATCATTTTTGTGGATTTCTAACAAATCATACATAAATCCTGAGAGAGGGAAAACTCTGGATTGCTGCTTTGATGTCTAATTCTTGGGGCAAAGATGCAACACACATTGGTGTTTTTTGCAACTGCATCATAGTAAAATAAGTGTTATAGAATCAACATGTCATGTCCAAAGTGTATTTGTTTTGCTAAAAAAGCCAACCAGATATTAATCTAATCAGATGGAAGCCGAGGACACAGCTGGCTGTAAACCATCCATCTGAACAGTGATCCAAACGTGCGATTGTAGAGCACACTGAGGGAAAGTGGGTGTTGGTAAATTGCCGCTTTGTGAATCACAGCTTGTTCTTCCGTTGTGTGACCAGCTGCACTCTGCTGCATCTTTATTTAATTTCTCAGCTTCTCTTTTTTCTTAGGCTCATCTGCTGCACTGCTATGGATATAAACAAGCAATAAAAGCATGGAAACATCTTCTACTGACAGGTTTATTTTATATATTTAGAAGAGTTTTTAAGTCATTTTCTCTGTCACTTTAACAACCAGGGTGATGCCAGCATATCCTCACACTAATCGTGTGAGTGAGTGAGTTGTGACATCTCAAACTGCTGCCATCATTACTGACGTTACACAACAGGAATATATTAAAAGGGACATATTACATATTGATGTCATATTTAAGTCATTTGGAGAGAAGATTTGCACAAAAAAAGTCTACATGTTTTTTTTACATGCTTCTATTCAAAGCCAGACTGTTAATATTCTCCTTAACTCACAATAACTTGACTCAGGAATGTAGTGCAGTTGAAACTAAAACAAAACTAGCACCCCCCAGTGGTTGGCTGCAGCATTAAGTGTGAAGTCCCACTTCCTCAATACAAACAAAGGTAAATTTTGGATGTAATGGGAAAGTCACTCTGTTTGACTGTTCAGCTGTAACAACAGAAGCACTGCCATCCTATATTTTTGTTCTATAGTTGAATCACCTCGATAAAATTAAATGACAAGCAGTTATTAAAATAAACAATAACTGATTTAAAGAAATAAAAAAAGCTTTCAACTAATAATTATCAGACAACAGGGTAGAAGGGAGATTTGTTTTGCTTATTTGTTTCTGGCTTTAACTCAGGATGTCATGTTTCCTGTTTCAGTGAACTGGTCACTAGTGACGGGAAACCAAGATTACCAATCAGCAGGTCATCATGGGGTTAAATTAGATAATTTTTCAGGGATATTGGCATCAATATCGGCAGATGTTAGTCATTTTTTAACATATCTGTATCGGTCCAATAAGTAAAATTGGGCTGATATTAACAACTGATATTTTTTTGGGATGGACAATATATCGGCATCAATATAGGTATCAACCGATGTTAGTAATTTTTCAATATATCGATATCGGTTCGATAAATAAAACTGGGCCGATATTAACAAGCAATATTTTTTCCATCTCGTCTCCATTTGTTTACCTGTTTCAGAGGGCTAGAGGGGTGATGTGTAATAGTTTAGTCATGTGAACAGTGAATGAAATAATCTCAGAAGCGTAAATGTGTGTGGTGTGTGTACACAATAATGTCAATTCAGCTTCAATAATTTTCATCCTATAGAAAATCTGCTGATTTCAGAAGCGTTAATGTCAGTATATTGGTATCAGCAAACATCGGTTATCGGCCATAACAGTGATCTTTATATTGGAGAAAGAGTTTCTCAAGAGTTTCTCAAGAGACAGAAACTTCTTATATTTAGGGGTGTGTATTGCCAAGAATCCGGCGATACAATATGCATTTCGTTACAAGAGAGAGGATGCGATATATTGCGATATTTGTGAGACAATTTTTGCAATTTATTAGACTGAGCTTCATTGGATAACTCTTGTAGAACACATCCAGTGTTATCACCAGATCTGGTCAGAATGAAGGAGGTAAAAACTGCTGCCATCTAGCAGTCAGATTTTGAACTGCTGAACACAAAAGAAATAAAGTAAATTTTCGCATGTAAATCCTCAATAAAAAATCTATACACAGTTTTTTTCCATCGATTCAATATCTGAACACAAAAATTGCGATATTTCAGTGTATTGTTATTTTCCTACTTAATGGAATATCGGTAAATGTCAGTTATCGGACAGAACATTGATTTAAATATCGGATATCGATATTGGCCTAACTTTTCACATCGGTGCATCCCTGCTTATTGCTATATTGTAGTAACTGATTTAAGCACTGCTGAGTAAACAAACGTTTTATAAAGAGGTTTTAGACAATATCCCTTAAAATCTAAAAAGATATGTGGTCAGTTTTTCTTGTTTTGTTGAGTGGATCAATTATTGTCATGAGATTGATTTGGAAACAGAACAACAAAAAGCACAAGCTGATATTTGTGTCTAAAAAAAGCCCATGTGAACAGAATAAATATTCTTAATAATGGCTTTAATTGGTGCTAAGATTAATATTTCAAAACCAGTCTCCACCAGTAAAGATTTAATGCAGCAATACTGGAGGCTATGACCCCCCATTAGCCAAGCCTTTAAACAATTAAATTTGATGGGATGATAATGTATGATAATCAGGAGTAATCAGGTGCCCACTGATAAATGGAAACTTGCTGGCTGGTATGTCACCTGCATTTCAAATCGTGTCCTTGGCAACAACGGTGTAAATGTGATTGACAGCTGGGGAATCCTACACTATGCTGGTGTCTGCGTACCATTCCCATTACGCGCTCCGCTATCCGATAAGAGCCCAAACAGTTTCTTGCTACTTCGCTGTCAATATCTAACACGACCGTGGACTTCAGGGAACAAGAAACGTGCAGCGTTGATGTTGAAGGCTGAAAAGGAGGTAAATATAAAATACAGGGTTTGATTAAGACCGTCACCCGAGAAACAGCCAGGCTCATTTGTGCATTCGCATGAATGCAATTGCACGGAGCTATTTTGTGATAGCCAATTTGCATAAATCCATATAAAATGCACTTTCCAGAAAGATGTCAGTCAGTCCCGGCCCCACCTGATGCCAGGGTGTGATTATGTAAAAAGACGGAGCTACTTAAGGCATAGAGAGCAAGTTTCCCCACATTTCTGTTATTCATTGGATTTATTTATTTGTTTTGTGAGTGTTTATTCACTGAAAACCTAAAAATATAGGCCGAAGAAAATAAGAAATAGGTTTGCTCCAGTCGCATCCTTCCACCACCACGTTTTGCTAATTCAGATACCAATCAGTAAACGTTTCTGTGCCTTCGGGACACAAAATTGGCAGTTTATCCTGTATTCACAATTCCATTACGCGCAAACCCGGATAGTCCAAGCTCCAGCCCATCCATGGAGAGCTGCTAAGTAAGTCCTGTAACTGCGGACGCAGCCTTCTGCCTAAAGCTCCTATCGTGCATTTCCAGACTCGTATCACTGTTTACGGATGTGCTTTAACAGTATTTAACTGGTGCAGACGGTCTAATTGGAGTAATGTTATTGCCCTCGCATAAAGGGACGCTGACCGGTGTGGCGAGTGAGAGAAAGTGAAGCGAAAGGATGGGAGAGGAGCAGCTGCTACTCACAGGAAACCTCTGAGGACCCACAGCAGGTCTGGACTGGCTCTGAGCAGGAGGCATCAAGGGCACTGCAATGAGAAAGAAGAGGGGCAAAAAGGATGAGGGGGAGGGGAGGAAAGGGAAAATGAGAGGCAGAAGGCAGAGAAAGGGTGTGATTGTGCAGAGGAGGAGATATCTCTATGCTGAAGGCTTTTAGCCAGACATAAATGTTACATTTCACCTCCTCATACTTTACACTGATACATACAGACCAAGGAGCTCAAGGCAATTAAAAACATGAGAATAATTCACCAAAAAGCAAAAAAGGCATTTGCTGTTTCACCACATTTGCGTGAAATAATTCAGTAAACTTAATTTTGATGTTTCTAGCATTCTGAAAAATAAAATAAAAGCAGGACTGTAAGGCAAATGGTCAATTTATTGAAATACACGTGTTGAAAAACCCTGTAGATACACATCTGCATGCATGGATGCACACAGACACTCCAATCAGGCAACGCCTGATCTTTCAGGACGTCTTTCTCTTGGGAGCCGAACACAAAATAGACAAGCCAAGACGTTTTGTTAAAAAAATTCAATCTTGGCCCGGACAGATAACCTATCAGAAGCAATGAGGTGGCGAAGGGAAAAAAGAAACCCAGAGCAGACCCCATTACAGGCGAGAACTGTCCGTCTGTCATTCACCCTAACAACAAAATGACATTTTAATCCTGATACTGTGGAAGAATAACTGCCAGTCTCTGTGATTTATTGGTTCTGCCCAATTTTGGCTGAATAAAAAATGAGGATTGTTGATTTTAGAAGGAAAATGAAAGTTTTAAATGTTTTTATTTGATCTCATACAACCAGAGCCACAGTCTTTAGTTTAACGTTTAGTAAATTAAATAAAATGTTTTACATTTGGGGGAATAATTGGAAAAGGCACAAACTCACCTTGCACAGAGGACTGCACAGACCCTCTGAAGTGGGGGTTAATGTGGATGTTTTTGGGCTGTGGGGGCGGCGGTTGTTGCTGCTGCTGGTGATGGGGAGGGAAGGCGGGTGGCGGGGAGCCCATCATTCGTGGTGGTTGTTCCATTTGGGGTCGCAGTGGTGGGGAGCGATGAGCCATGTGTGGGGGGAGGAGGGGCTGCAGGGGCTGCTGGGAAAGAGGGCGCCCATGCTCCTGGAAGGGAGGAAGTGGTCCTCTCGGATGTGAAGGGTGGTGCTGATGGGACTGCATTTGTTGCTGATGGGGATGAGGCATTCTGGAGGACTGCTAGATGGGGGGGGGGGTTATTTAGTTAAGTGGTGCTTCAAACTCATCCTTGATAATTGGTCAAACAAACAAACACAAAAACAAACACGCCAGTGACCAAATTAGACAAAAGGTGACACCATGGTACGTTGCCAAAAGCACAACCCTCATTAGCTGCGGTCACCAGAACGTATGTGATGCTGCTGTGTCATCCACGTGTCGTTAATTTTTTCACTTCCAGCCTTGTTGTGTTTTGAATTTTACCGTCTGTTATCATTAATTAATAAAGCCTAAAATAATACAGTAGTGGAGTTAAACATCACACAGCCTTGAGAACTCCTACAACACAGGGGGGGGGGGGGGGGGTACTCTCCAGCTCAGAGCGCCAAATAAACACACAGCTGATACTTTGTTTTGGTACCTGCAGCCTTGGGCTAAAAACACTGCAGATCCATATGGGTTTGGCAGCAAAAGGAACAATATTTTAGGAATTTAAAGGTTTATGTTCTTGATGTTTATCAGTGGAATCGCAGCAGCATGTTCCATCATTAGTCGACTACGTAAATGTCAGCAAACAGCTCACCTGCATGATCATGTTTCCCATCAGTGGGGGCATTTGGTCATGCATTTTTCTTCTTTGTCCTCTAAAGTTCGGCATTCCAAACCCCGGAAAACCACCTCTCCCTCGGCCCCCTCGTCCCCCTCCTCTACCTCGACCTCCGTAACGGGTTTGCCTCCTCTGCCGTTCCTGTTCCTCAAACTCCATCAAGTCCCGTTTGGCTTTCTCGGACAGCTCTGACCAAAGGAGGAATCAGGAAGTGCATCCATCACAGTTCAGTTCGGATAAATTACAACTAATTCACACCTGATAATTAAAGTAAAAAAAAAACAGAAGGGACTTGTACCGAGGGTTTCGGGAATGTTCCTCCTTTGACCTGCGTCTGCCAGTCGCACGACAACGCCTTCTTTCCTCTCGGACTTGAACCGTATTCGGCCAGAATCTTCGCCGTCATCTTCTTCTTCATCCGACTCTTCCTTTGTCTTGTCCTCAAGCAAAGTGTCGTTTTCACCCTGAAGATGTTATCCAATTAGAAAAAACTAACCAAATATGATTTTTCTGTATTTTGTTCCACTTTCATCCAGTTTTTTGCACTTTCTAAAATATAAATAAAGACATAAACCGTTAGTTTACCTCCTCTGTGTCATAGACATGAGATTCCTCATTGGTGTCTTCTTCACCTAGCTGCTTTTCTCCTCCCACCTCCTCTGTGTCCTCCTCCAGTGGAGCTTCACCTCCACCACCAGCTTCATCACCATAGCTTTGATAGTCTTCATCCTTTCAGGAAGAAACAAATAAATCAATTTAAAAACAACTTCGCATTTCCATCATTCCTAGAAAACAGTCAGCGGCTACAATCTGTTCAAACACCCTCATTTGATGAGCAAACCAAAGATGCGAATGGGCAAAAGTGCTATTTTTCTAATTTGCATTTTATAAATAGAAATTTAAACATCAAGATGCAAATAAAAAAAAAATCATAAAAAAAACACGGACCAAAATGTTTTGGTGAGGATTTGGGGGGGCACCAGGGAGCCCCACCCCTTCCAAAAGCACATTACCATAACAGTGGGAGCAAGGCTTCATTACTATTCCTGACAGCATTTGAAATTCAATGAGATGTAAATGTTTGACATGATATACAGAAATGCAGGCGCAGATAAAAACACTCCTCCCTGCTTCAGTGATGGTGAAAATATCATTGACTGACTCCTCACAAATCACGCCGTTATTGGCTGCACTGTAAGCTCATGACTCCATGGCGAGAATGTGGCATCGAAGCCGACGCTCTGGGGTGACAAATCAGGTTTTCTTACCTCAATAACAAGACTTTAGCGTAGTCAGCTGGTATACCATTAAATAAAGCCTCTGCTATTACAGTGAAGGAGCAGCTTCTGAATTCTTATTTAAACCGAGGTCAGAGCAGAGGTCACACTTTAGCATTTTTCTGTTGTACTGCATTAACCTGCAACCCGAAGCACAAATAAATGCAGAAAATAATACACTCTTAGTGAGTCAGGCAAATGGACGGAGTCCCCCAAGGGAAGGGAACAGCTTAATCATTGAAACAGTTTCAGATAATCCTCCATGAATGCCACGGTGAGCCAAATGTCAAGGTCAAGCAGTTTAGTGACCTTGTAAACAGCCAGAATACACAACCGTATCCCAAAATTCAAAACAGGCAGCGACTTTGGCTAAAGAAGGTCAATACCGTATCTTTGTTTTGAGGAGGGAGGATAATATATCTCTGTCAGGTGCCAAACACAATCACACTAAGGTAAATGGACCATAACAGACATTTGCACAACGATCCGGCCTTATCTGTGATCCTCTTAGGCCAGGCTAAGAGGAAAGGGAAACCAATGAAAGAGAAACTCACATCAATCATTAGAAAACTGTATGGAGTGTCCTCGGGAAGGTCAATAATCTTTTCACCTGCGTGAGACTTTATCAGATCCAGTCGAGAGCCGGAGAAAAAAGCCCCCCACATTAACCTCCGCCGATTGGCAGCACATCTCCCAAACACAAAAGCAGCTTCTTACTCCTCCAAAGATACAGAGCCCAAGGTCACAATGGCAGCGGGATTCGGAGAGACAGCAGCGCATTGCCTCATGCCAAACAAGCTCTCAACTAAACTTTGTCAGCAAGATGGAGAAATTTGCTGGCAGGAGGTGATAATGATTCTAATCATCCTCTGCCCAAAAACGACGGCCAACATCTCCTTCACCCCAATGGATTTTTAATCCTGACTTCTTCCCAGCGAGACAAGAAAACTGACATTATCTCTGGGACACAATAGAGACGGAGAGAAAGGCTGGATTGGAGAATGTGTGTGTGTGTGTGTGTGTGTGTGTGTGTGTGTGTGTGTGTGTGTGTGTGTGTGTGTGGTGTGTGTGTGTGTGTGTGTGTGTGCTTCTTTTACGTTAAAGGAAAAAAAATTGTGAGAACTCACTTGAAATTCACCATCTAGGGGCTCTGTGATTTGGATGTCTAGCACTTCATCCTGGTAACCATCATCATCCTCAGCTAGGTCTCCAGCGTAATCTTCAGGCATCTCTGTGTTGTCTTCCTGTCTGAACCCCTCTGTGTACACCACTTCCCCCTCTTGATGGTGCCCGCCCCCCTCCTCCTCCTCATCGCAGCCCTCTGCACCCAGGTTCACGACGTCATCTGGGTAGTCCGCTTCCTGCGAGCTGCCCTGCTGGTCATATGATGCGTCCATGCCGAGGCTCGCATCCTGGCCACTGAAAAACAAACCCAGTAAACAAGAAAAAAAAAAACATTTAAATAGAGGAAACGAAACAGAAAATCCATTTTAAATGAGGTAGAACCCTTACGTCATGTTTAGGTCTTCATCGTCACTTTGAAGGAGGTCATCGTTTAGTTCCTCATCTGATACCTCTGAAGTGTTCTGAAACATAAATAATATTTGAAAGCTGAGCATTATTTCTCCTGCTGGATTTCTTTTGAGCATGTTAAAACTGTGGGGGCAGGGGGCTGCCTCCAACCCTTAAGGATGCTTTATTCCCATGTGGCGAAGGCAATCTGGGCAGGTCAATACAGAGCATTTTTGTCCACTGTACTTCCTCCTGGTTCACATCAACAACTCCCCCTGTGGAGGAGCCACCTGCTACAAGTCCACTCCTCATGACTATTCTCTAAAATGTTCCAATAACACAGACGCCTAGTGTTTTGGATGTTATTTTCTGCATGTAAGCAGAAAACACACACACACACACACACACACACGCACGCACGCACGCACACACGCACACGCACACACACACACACACACACACACACGCACGCACGCACGCACACACGCACACGCACACACACACACACACACACACACACACACACACACACACACACACACACACACACACACACACACACACACACACACACACCTCTGCCGAGCATCAAGGCAGGGAAAACAAACGTGCAATCCAAAAGAGGTTTTGTCTTTCTTACCTTTTTACCAGACAGCCAATCCTCCTCCAACAAATCCTCTTCCAGATCGCTTAAAAATAAACAAGAATGGGGAAGCAGTGTTACATTTTAACACAGAGCTGTTTGTGTTAGAACACACTCTTCTAATTCTGTCTTGCAAAAATAGTTTTGTTTCTTTCCAAATATTTAACCCCATCTTGTAAAGATATTGAGTCCAACATCAGAAGAGTGAAACTAAGCTAAAGTTGGCTAATGGTAGGAAGTTGTTAACCACACTGAAAAGTATAGTTATGTAAATCCAGTTTATCTTACAGCAAATCCAAGCCATGTATGATGGCATTTCTTTAAACAAGAAATTAACAGATTACCACGAAATAACTATACCTTGGATCTGCTATATTTTGACATTTTGAGTGAGAGAAAAGTAGCGGAAGAGTTTGATGTATGTGTACGGCAGGGTTTCCCTTACATAGGCGTAGCCGTGGCGGCCCGCCACGGCTGAAATCCCACGGCCACGCCTACAAGATCCCAAGTTTTTTTTATTTATTTGGTTTTTTTTTTTGCGCTGTTTCCCGAAGAAGCAGCGAGAACTACTATGTTGTCGCTTGTGATCACAGCCGGCGGGCAGCAAGGAGGAGCAGGCAGGGCAAGGTGAAGTTGCAGCATAAGTTACTGACTTTAAAATGAGAAAGGTAGCAGTGGATATAATGCTTTTTGGTTTACATGTTTCAATAGCATTAAGATAAACGAGTGTTGACGATCTTGACAGGGTTTCCTCCAGTGCTTATTAGGCCAGGTTCTCCTCCCCCCACCAGGCTAATCATCACTTATTCATGTAAAATTTATTTATTTTTTCATGTCTGACTTTAACCGCATCTAATACTGTATTACGGCGTGAGCGCAACAGCGACAACTTAAGATCCATGTGTGAGCAGCGTGAGAGGTCGGGTGTTTTCATCTGAACCCTTAAAACCTCCAGCAGGCTACGCTGCACTGTTGACACGTTAGCGCGCGGCGCTAAAAACTTAGCGACGTGACGTCTCGGAGAAAGCGTAAAAACATGGACGCTTCTTCTGAAGCGGGAAAATAACACTTCTTCTTAAGCAGAGCACGACGTCGCCTCGGCTCGTTCACGGCCAAGCCGGACTGAGCTCGATAACATTGACCCAGCACAGCCACTGGGTCGTTGGAGCTGCCCCGTGACTGCCTGATGGAAAACCAGAGGGTTTCATCAGACTCGTAAAGTTTCTTGTTTTTGGTGGGGACCCCCTGTATTTTACCGCTCCCTCCTGCAGTCTTCCCCTATTAAAATGTTAAATGATTCTGTAAATTCCGTGTATCAATAGAAAAAATCTCTGCCTCTGCCAGCTGCAGTAAATGTAGTTTCCAAATAATAAATAAGAGGTGCATTCATCTGTGTATCTTCTTTGATCCGCATTAGTGATATTCTCAGCACCAGAACAGTGAAGCAAAGAAAGATTCCTGAGTTTGTTAGTAATTTTATTTATTAGGTGCATCTAACCTGTTTGCCACAGCTGGAAAAATTCCTAAGGGAGACACTGTACGGTACGTAAAAGTTGTGTCAATAAAGGAGTAAAAGAGTTTTATCAAACTCTTTAAGTGGTTTGGATTCAACACATCATAGTGTTTGATTGCTTCACTTATCAAGAACATTTTACTAATCACAGTGTTAACAAATGTTCAAGCTGGTGATCACAGCTGCTTGTTGTCTTGGAAACTAATTTAAGAAGGAAGTGAATTTCAAAATGTCTTTTCTTAATCAATCAATCCATTCATTCATTTTCTTCTGCTTATCTGAGGTCAGGTTGAAGGGGCAGCAACCTAAGTAAAGAGGCCCAGACATCCCTCTCCTCAGCCACTTGGGCCAGCTATTCTGGGGGAATCCCAAGTTGTTCCCTGGCCAGCCGAGCAACCTCCAGCATGTCCGGGGTCTTCACTTGAAAAATCTCCCAGTTGGAAGTGCCCAGAAAACCGAACCCGAGCCACCTCAACTGGCTCTTCTCGATTTGGAGAAGTGGATCTACTCCGTGCCCCTCCCGGTTGACTGAGCTACTCACCCTATCACTTAAGCTGGGTGGACACTGTGCGACTTTTTCACTCGTAGCACTCAGCTTCAGCTCAAACCCTACGACTTCCTTGCAGGGCAGATCTCACGAGTCATGTGCTCACACTGCACGACCCAGTTCTCGGATGCGACCCGACTGCTCACACTGTACGTCTGGTAGCAACACGTCGGACCTAAAAGTATGCTAAAAATAGCAGTTTTTATACAACACGTCAGACTTTTTTGTCTTGTTTTGCCTGTTGTCCTTCGGGAGTGCTGCAGGAGGACACACAGGGATTTATGGGGGTTGGATGAGGAAAACGAAATAAAGAAAGTAAATCTGTGTTTTGTGATCAGTTTAATTTGACATGAACACGACAAACACACTTTCTTGACAATCTTTGTGAGTAAAAAAAACATGTAGAAATAAAAATGAACAACGTGTGTTATTAGGGAAATAGCAGGCGAGCGGTGTTGATGCATGATTATGCATGCGCCGTGAGCGGTTCTGGTACTTTTTGGGTCGCAGCTGCTCGCAGCGCCGCTTCAACCCTCACGAGGGACGATCAAAATTTGAAACACGCCAGAAGTTTGTGCGAGCTCACGATTGCTGATCGGTAGCTGGTCACGTAATGTTAATCGCCTTTCGTAACCCCCTGTACACTACAAGACGCTCAGCGCAAAACTCGCCCCGATCTTGTGGATTCTCGCACGAGTGGAAAATCGGCTCAAAAAAGTGAAAAAGTCGCACAGTGTACGCCCGGCTTAAGGGAGAGCCCAAACACCCTGCAGAGAAAACTAATTTAGGCCACTTGCATCTGCCATCTCATTCTTTTGGTCACTACACAAAGCTCGTGACCATAGGTGAGGGTAGGAACTAGGGATGTCCTGATCCGATCACATGATCGGAAATCGGCCCTGATCGTTTCAGACTCGATCGGGACTCGGGCTTTACTTCCCGATCCAAGCCCCGATCCGGACTCGGATCCTGGGTTCAAATTACAGGAGAGCAACTTGGTTCTCCTTAAAGGTTGTCAGGCTCCCCTGATGCCCTTAACTTACACACCCAGAAGGAGCACACTTTTGAGCAGAGATGCAGAGCGGCAGGCAGACGGTTGATTATTCTTTAACTCCAGCTGCATTCTGCACATGGCCACAGTAACATTTTCTAAGTTTCTAAGTGGCGTCACCAAAAAATATATAATTAACACACAGTCATTCGTGTCCGTTCATTTTCTCTCTGGTAGGTTCTGTCTGTATTTGAGCATGACGTGTGGAAGCGCTCGAGCTGCAGCGCTCGTCACTGGCGTAGCCGAGCAGCGCAGCGCACACTCCGCTTTTTTTGCGGTCAATAGATCAGTTTGATCTGCTAGTTAAAGTTACTTGTGAGGTGAAAAAGAAGGAAGCAGGCAGTTTTTCTGGAGGACTGGGAGATGCAGGAAGATCAGAGACAGAAGGACAGGAAGATGGGAAAATAAAAACCAAGAAAACAAAACAAAGTTCTTAAAAAAAATAAAATGTAGGTGGATTGATCCCACTACACGTTTGTACCTGTATAAAGCAATAATTTATCAGCATGTAGTATTTATATAGTCGATACAATTCAGACCATCTTCAAAACTCCGTCCCATGCCCAGGGACGTATCTAAGCATTTTGGGGGCCGAGGCAAAATAGCCCCCTGCCAGCTATTTTAAGTTGAAGTGCAATCTGTTTTTATATTAGACTTTTTATATTTGCAATAAAGTCCAAAAGTGAAGAATTTATGTTATTTATTACTTGATTGTTCAAGCTACCTCACAGAAGTGATCTGTTGTTAAACATTAAAATAAAAAGGTAATTAAATAAAAAATAAGGAACATTCTGGAACTGTTTCTTCCTTTTCTTTCTTTCTTTATTTTTATGTATCAAAAGTATCGGATCGGGACTCGGTATCAGCAGATTCTCAAATCAAATGACTCGGACTCGAGGGCAAAAAACCCTGATCGGGACATTTTTTGTAGGAACGTAGATCAACCAGTAAATCAAGAGCTTTGCCTTCTGGCTACGCTCTCTCTACACCACAACTGACCGGTGGCATCATTGCAGACTAGGCACCAATTCGTCTAATGATCTCGTACTCCACCTTTCCCTCATTTGTGAACAAGACCTCGAGATACTTAAACCCCCTCCACTTGAGGTAGGACCTCATGCCTGACACCTTCCAGGAACCCCCTAAGGGTTTAGAGCAGATCCTGTGTTCCAAGGCCAGGCGAAAAACCACATTGTTCCTCCTGGATCCGAGGTTCAACTATCCAACGTATCCTGCTGTCAGAAACCCCTGAATAGACTTTACCAGGAAGACTCAGGAGTGTGATCCCTCTGTAAACATACTTTTAATCTTTTTTTTAATCTTTTTTATACTTTTTATTTTATTTTATTTTTTTGTTAAGCTCCTCGTGACTTATCTTGAGAGGTGCTATATAAAAGATCACTTTATTTCTTTATTTTCTTTCTGTAGTCGGAACACACCATGCAGTCCCTCTTTTAAAAACAGGGGGACCACCACCCTGGTCTGCCAATTCAGTGGAACTGCACTCGATATCCACGTCATATTGCAGAGTCACGTCAGCCAACAGCCCCACAACAACCAGAGCCTTGAGGAACTCTCAGCGGATCTCACCTACCCCTGGGGTCTTGTCCACCAAGGAGCATTTTGACCACCTCAGTGACTTCATGACTTCAGCACCAGAAATTGGAGAGCCAACCCAAAGTCCCCAGACTCTTTCTCACTGGAAGATGTGCCAGTGGGATTGTGGAGGTCTTCAAAGTACTCCGCCCACTCGATCCTGAGGCGAGGTCAGGAGCACACAATCTCCACTATGAACAGTGTTGGTAGAGCACTGCTTTCCCCTCCTGAGGTGCCAGATGGTGGACCAGAATCTACTTGAAGCCGTACGGCAGTCTTACTCCATGGTCTCACCAAACTTTTACCTCCGTGACCACTCGAGCCGCATTCCGCTTGGACTGCCGTACCTAAAAGCTGCCTCTGGAATCCCACAGGCCAAAAAGAACCAATAGAACTTTTCTTCAGCAATGAACCTGCAACCACAGCTTTGATAAGCCGCTTTAACAATGGAAGCATGGAACAAGGCCCATTCGGACTCAATGTCCCCTACCTCCCCTGCGACAAGTTGGAAGTTCTGTCGGAGGTGGGAATTGAAGCTCCTTCTGACCCTCGCAATATGTTTAGGCCTGCCAGGTCTGACCAGCATCCTCTCACAACTAGATAGTAGTCAGTTGTAGGGCTGCTATCGAATATTTTTGTAATCGAGTACTCTATCGAATCTTTTATCGATTAATCGAGTACTCTAATAAATTACTCTTTTGCGTTTTTAAACCATTATATCAAATAGCATGTTATAAAATATGAAAGACCTCTTGAAATGAGAAAGCAATTGCCAGTTATTCTTCAAGTTTTATTCAAAATTAGTTTTCAAAACTTCAGCACTTCAACTTTACTTCACAGTAAAAAAAATGCGAGCAGCTGTGGCCCAAACAGCACCAGAACCGCTCACGACGCATGCGCAAACATGGCTCGCCAGCTGTTTCCCTATTAACACATGTTCGTTTTAATTTCTACACTTTTTTTTGTCTCACACTAACAAGGATTGTCGAAAGCATGTTTGCCGTGGTGATGTCAAATTATACTGATCACAAATCATTTATTTACTTTCTTTCACTTTCCTCCGCCACTCTCATAAATACCTGTGTCCTCCTGCAGCAATGCCGAGGGACAACGGACATCAATAACAACACAGTAAAAAGTTTGATGTGTTGTAAAAACTGCTATTTTTTGCACATTTTAAGTCTGACGTGTTGCTACCAGATGTACGGTGTGAGCTGAAACTAAGTGCTACAAATGAAAAAGTCGCACAGTGTCCGCAGAATATATAGAAATACAGGCTAAAATGCATTATCTTGTAGAGGCTCTGAGTCCGCTTGCAGAAGTGACATTTACAGGTGGATGTTTCCTGGTCAGGTCGCAGCATCGAGGAATGTGGTGTTGTGGTAGGCTAAATCCATTTTACAGTATTTACACTGGAGTACGTTTTCCGCCTTACGACGTGAAAATGGTCCCACACCTTTGACATTTTGTGTCTTTTTCGCACTCCACCGGGGTCCACGTTGTCCGCCACGGCTTAAAAGAAAGTTAAGTTGTGTTCGCTACTCGCGTGTGCGTTCAATGCAGTGTGTATGTGCGTCACTTATTTTGGTCCGGGTGAAACATGACCACGGGCGATTGCAAAGCCATAAATTAATTTAATTAAACATGAATTAAACGAAGCTTCGAGGCAGAGAATTTGACTCGAGGATTTTTTGTACTCGAATTATTCGAGGTAGTCGAGGAATCGTTTCAGCCCTAGTCCGTTGTAGGGTTGTCACGGTGTGAAAATTTAACCTCACGGTTATTGTGACCAAAATTATCACAGTTTTCGGTATTATCGCGGTATTTTTTTAAACATGTTAAATTTTCACACAACTAAAACCCTGTATATCAGGAAAATATTGTCCTCAGTTTGTGTCTAAATTTTGCCTACAATTTGTTATTTTGTTATTATGTTGTTTATTTGTTTACATATTTCCCCTTTAGTCTTTAAAATACCAATATTTGCCCATAACTTCTTTTTTCTTTGTTTGATGTCATCATATAAAAATATTAGATCAGATGATACTCAGTACTCAAGTAGCCTTCTAATTAGATACTTTTTTACCCTTACTTGAGTAATAAACCCTATATCAGGAAAATATTGTCCTCGGTTTGTCTCCTTCCAGTGAGCTTTGCAGATTTGGGAAAATGTCATCAGGCAGTAATCATTGTTAAATTCATAATCAGACCAACTCTTATCTCCCCTGGGAGCCCCGTAATGCATAGAGTCATTTCAACATGGGGGTGTTCGCGACACGGTTTATATGCAGGTAGCGGGCGCTGCGGCCATTTTATATAGCGACTCGTTGCATTCTCCCTCAACCCAAATCCTCGGATCACGCATTTTAGCTAAAACGCTAACGTTAGCTTGCCTTGCGTTGACTGTAGAGTTGTGGGTGATGGTCACGTAGATGTGTCATGAGATTTGAAGCGTTGCTGCCTTTCACAGACACTTTCTGCACGTGCTGCAAACAGGATAGCCGTCTTCTATCAACTGTCCCTCGGCATTCTTTAAATATCCAAAAAAAATGCCCGTACTTCCCACTTTGTCTTCTTTGAGGGATAATAAATGTCCTCCTGAGCGCTGCCGTCTCCTCCTTTGGCCATTATTTCAGCTTTAGCTTCAAGAAAGTTTTGGTTGTAAACAACAAAGTGCATATGTGCCACCGGCAACTTCAGCAGATGATACGGTGGCTGGTAAGGGCCACCGCGCCTACACCGTAGCCACGGTAATCCACCGAGATAATATAGTTTTTTTTAAAAACAAGACGGTTATTATTATTGTCAACTTTTTTACCGGGGTTTACCGCTACACCAGTTACTGTAACAACCCTAGTCAGTTGACAGATCTGCACCTCACTCCACTTGAGTGTCCGAGAAATGCTACAGCAGATCAGATGATTGTAGCTTGTTTTGTCAATTATACATTTTGTGCAGCTAATTGTGTATAAATGCAAAATCCTTTTAGTCTACTGGTTGATATGAAATTAAATATTCTGACAAACTAGGGTAAAATACCAGTATATAGCATATATCCCAAGCTTAGGAGAAATGTTATTTTTGCTTATCGTTTGCTTGCTACCTTCATAGTCTGGTTTGAACGTAGCATTACTATGATGCATTTATGGTTACCACTTAAAATTATTCTATTTATAAATGTAACCTTGTTGATTAAAATTTATTTTTGTTAACTTTGTTCAAAATAACATTAATCACTTCACTTATCACTGCTGCTTCGCTGTGTATCTGTGTATCTAGCTAAAAACAGCATGAAAAGTTGAGGCTCTGCTCTTTGTGCACATACACAGTATTGATTGTAAAAACTTCATGAATTCAGCTCAAAGAATTGGTCTATCATTTTCCCGATTTTCCAGGACGTGTGGAAACCTAACTGAATTAAGTCAATTTATTTTTCTGTAAAGAAAAGAAAGCACAATCCAACATTTTACCTCTCCAGAGCGTCATCCTCCCCTCTCCTCCTGCGGGAACGTTCGATACCGGGTTTGTCATATTCACCAAAGTCAAAATCTGCAACAGAGAAAAAGGTTTTCCTTAAAAGATAAATTCTAGGGATGGACAATGTTTTTAACATATCAGTATCGGTTCGATAAATAAAACCGGGCCGATATTACCAACCGATATTTTTTCCATCTCGTCTCCATTTGTTTGCCTGTTTCAAAGGGTGAGGGAGTAATGTGTAATTGTTTAGTCATGTGAACAGTGGATGAAATCACCTCAGAACCATAAATGTGTGTGTTGTGTGTAGGGCTGCAACAAACGATTATTTGGATAATCGATGAATCGGATGGGGTCTCGACACGATTAATCGATTAATCGGATTACATAGGGACATTTTTAAAAACTGCTAGGGAAACGTTATTTTTCTCCTTCCTTCACTTTATTAAACACAACATTATTAGAAAACAGTTCAATAGCAGAAAAACAACATGCCATCACCTAAATTGTCTGATAAGGTGTATAGACAGAGACCCTAAGCTACACTTATCTGTGACCTAAAATGCTTGGTCCAAGTTAAACAGCTTAAAGAGCAAGTCAAACCCTACCAGAGTCTAACTCCACTCTAGGGTTGTCACGATACTAAAATTTCAAACTCGATTCGATACTTGAATAAAAACTCGATACTCGATTTCGATACTATTTAAAAACACCAATTTATTGAACAAGTTTATTCAAAAAATAACATTCCTCAATTTATATTGCAAAAATTAAATGTTAAGAATTAAGTGTATAAAGTGCTTAAACCTTTCAAGTATTAGCATTTTTTTAAACGTGCATACAAAAACTGGCAAAAGTTAACACTTTAAATCATGAATTGTCTCACTATATATACATTATTTGCAGAGTGATGTTTTGCTGCTTAAATTCTGTTTAAGTAGCATTTTTGTCATAAGATGTAATGCGATGTTTTGTTCTGTACTTTTGAACAACTCTGTTGGTCAATAAAGAGAGAAAACGAATTTCTCCACAGTAGGACAAAGGTACATCTACCGGTAATCTTAATAAAAACAGATTGGCGCACGGCAGTGACGTCATTAAAAGCGCCGGTTAGTTAGCCGCAGCTAGTCTGTTTACGCCTAGAAATACTGCGGTCAAGTGAATCCCAGACCCGCTCCAAACGAACAGGGGAATCACGTTAATGATTCCTAACAAAACCTTTCGACATGAAGATGTTTTGGTGCAGATAATGTCTTATTTCGAGGCTGCACCATGGGTGCCCGTCCGCACCCGTTATATGGATATACACTGATGGCGATTCGCCGATGGATCTAAATACCCCGGGGAATCCAAGTAGCACCAAAGTTGTCAGCGTGAGTAAACAAACGTACTGCATGCTAGAAATTAAGTCCGGGTTGCAATAAACGGGAGTTTCCTTTAAGCACATAAGCGTGAATATACAACTACGTGTCGGACTTGGTATGCTAATTAAGTTGGGCTGTGAAGCGCCTCCCAAATTCGCAGTTTATGTTTTTGTTTATTTATTTGGCAGACAAAACTTGGATCAGAGACAACTCGCGTGGGAAATTGCAATGTAGCCATGTGGCGTCTTCTTCTTCTGTTTGTCTGGGAGGCGGAGGCTGTTTTACGGCATCTGGCTGTTGTGCGTGTCGGTGTACTTGAAGAAGGCTGTGTATAATAGTCCATAATATCGATACCACAGGGATGGAATATCTTATTTAGATACCACTTTTAGTATCGATTTATATCTAGGTATCGATTTTTTTGACAACACGACTCCACTCCCACTTCATGTTTGAAAAATGCAACACATGCTGTTGCCTGGCAGACCGAGAGGGCGGAGCCACTAACAAATACACACACACTCAGGCTCACAACAGCATTGTGACATCATAATGTACCAGTTTACATCATAGCATACTTCTTAGCCAATAGCGGTGGCAGATTTAAATTAAAATACAGTGCAGAGTTTTTACCTGACAACGGCACAACACTGCCAGTTTTAGGAAGAATATTTAAATTTTAACTAAGATGCACTGAAGTGCCAAATTATTGACGACACGTGTCTGCAGCACGATTAGACACTCGTTTATTTAGTTTATCAGCAAAAAAAAGTTTATTTGGGGGTGACTTGCTCTTTAAGGGCAATTCTCATCTGTTTTGTTTGATCTCATCTGTAGACATTTATTATAATTGGGGATGCCAAACAACTAATTTTTAAATGTAATTAAACATAGGCTGTGAATTAATCAAAATTAATCACCATTTCCAAAAATGACTGAAAAAATACCAAATAAAACAAAAGTAAATGAATGCCATCCTCCTTGTGATGATGCCCTGGGCAACTGCCATAAAGTCACATCAAGAAATGCTGCTGTTCATTCCAATGATCCCAAACAGACTCACATTAGGCCACATGAAAGCAACTGAACCCAAAAATATATTAACCAGTATATACTGCACTCACACACAACACGCCTGCAGCAACAGTTAGGACTCCTCCCTCCCTTTTAAAAACGTTTTCGCTTCTGAGGGCATTGTAGTTGTAAAGCCACATGTCAGTAGTCAGACCCCGGTGTGATCAACCAGTTTCTGCCGGAATGTGACGGCGGAACCGGTTCGTAGCCCCCCCCCTACCCCCCCCCCCCCCCCCCCCCGTCTATCTAATAGCGTCGCGCTTACAATTTAATAGACTTTTTAAACGAGCTTAGGGCATGTCTAGCCTGTGTAATAATCCGGGGCTTGGGTGAATCACTTTTGAAAAGTTTTTAACTTACCCGGACACAAGGCTCTCTCCTTCCTCGCTGATGATTCTGACATGCTTGCGCTGCATCATCACTGCAGCACTCCCGTGCCATGCTAAGTCTGACCTACAAACGTTGCAGGTAACGAATGTCTTCGCCTGATTTAACTGAAAATGCTCCCAAACTTTAGAAGTTTTTACTTATTTGGGGTCTCGCTGCTTCTACCATGTTCCTCTTTCCAAACACTTGCCGGCTCTCCGGTCTGCGCGCAACGGCGGGCGGGAGGGGGCTTTTGAAAGAGTTGCGCAACACAACGAATCGATGATGCAATTCGTTGCCAACGCTTTTAGTAATCGATTTTCATCGAATTTATCGATTCGTTGTTGCAGCCCTAGTTGTGTGTACATAATAATGTAAACTCTGCTTTAATAGTTTTCATACTATACAAAATCTTCAGATTTTAGAAGCAATAACATAAGTATATTGGTATCGGCAAATATCGGTTATCGGCCATAACAGTGATTTCGATATTGGATATCTGTACCTGCCCAAAAATGTCATATCGGTGCATCACTAATAAATTCTTTATTTGACTAACTATAATAGTACATTAGACCCATTTCTGGTGACTTTTAATCTATGTAGACACCAGAACACCACACATCTCTGTAAGTACTAGTTGTACCCCCAGCTGACGGACTCTATTCAAGCCTGTTTAGGTCATTTAAGAACATAGCAGTAAAACGGCAAACACTGACCTAAACACTCATACGTACCATAGCACTAGATCAAGTTTCAATGTTCAAATCAGTCACGGCACATGGAAACAAGCCTTTATTTTTCCATGCATTCAAAATATTAGTTTTGGATCAATCAATAAATAATAAGCTACTTCTAAGCAAGAGCACATAGAAAATTATTGATTTACAGCTCTCATTCGACTTCAGCTTCTTCTGACATTAAGGATGTAACACATGAAAGGATTACAGGAGACATTGTGTTGGAAAGATGTCAAATAAATTTGTGTCAACATACAGAGCATGGTCTTGAAACGTTTCAAAATCTACAAAGAAGATGTGAGAAATGACAGACCAAAGGTGATTTAAAATGCTGAGCACCATATTTCACAAATCTACAGGGAAATGGTAGCTGAGATATCTAGACCGCCAGATGCCAAAGCAAAATGATTTTGTTCTGCATGCCAGTCTAGCCACGCTCCACTGGAACCTCTGCAGCCCCGGACAGTCTGCTGGCTGGCTGATCACATCTGGCTTGGTGGGCGGGAACAAAGTAGGCGACGGCTCATTTGGAACGGCTTTGACATCAACTTTGTATTATTTAGACCTGGGCTTTGAGTCAAGAGCAGATAGAGGTCCTTATAACATCCTGATGGTGCATAAGGACTTAAAGATGCAATGGAAAACATGTAAAACGAGCTAGTTAAAAACATTTTTACTGACTCTTAATGTATATTGTGGAAATTAAAATGTGTCTTTAAAACTGATAAATAACAATGTGGTTTTTCCACATTCGTCTAAAAACTAGGGATGCACCGAAAACTCGGCCACTGAACATTTTCGGCCAAAAATGATCGAAAAGGGAATTTTTGGTTTTCAGCTGAAACACCCAAATCACCAAAAACACAGCTGACAGACCGTCAGGTGAACCTTGTTTTTGTTTCATCTTGCTCCGTAACTTGCTTTTTGTTTCATAAAAATAGTACATTCTGATTTCAAAAGTAACATTTTCCCCCTGGCAGTAATGCTATGTTATTAAGCTTTTACTTATTTAATTAGGCTTTTTTTCCCCTTTCTTTCAATGTTTCGTTTTTTTCTGCCTTGGTTTCCTCATCTTCGATTTTGGTCAAGAATTTTCGTTTCGGTGCATCCCTACTAAAACCCTCCGCCAATAGCACGGCTCAATGATAGGACCACCTGGTTGTCTGTCTTATTGAACTACGAAACTTCCCTGGGTCTTTCATTCATTACACACTTATGTCTTAAGCAACAGAAGACCACTGGTGTGAGAGGTTCTCTGCTTAATAAAATCTGAGACGGAAAAACAGCCAGCTGCTAGCACTTCAAATTTACGACAAACTACCAGGGTCCCAAAAAGAAAAAAAACTGTTTGAAGTAGGGTTGCAAGGATTAACTTAGGGCTGGGCGATATGGACCAAAAATTATATCTCGATATCTTTAAGCTGAATTCCGACATGCGATATATATCTCGATATTTTTCCTCCTGTAAACTGTTGACAAGTTAACTCACTTCAAGCTCTTGAGAAATTATATACATAAATCAGTAGGT